GGTTGCATTCCAATAGTCCATTTAGCTTAGGAACCTTCCTAACGGAGTGAAATGACCCGGAAGTACGTCACTGGCAGCCATGATAAGTGCCGTTCCAATTATCCAAATGAAAGGAAAGGAGGTTTCAAACTTCCTTTATAACCTCCTTTAGCTTAGGAACCACTGGACCTCCCTAACCGAAAGGAGAGGAGAAAATGCAGCCCCACAATGCATTGCAGCCGCAGCATTTGCCATCACAACAGTCGGCCGTTCACGGAAACAACCGATTATGACCGAGAAATTATATCATGAAAGTTACGGTGCTTATTAAGCATTTTAAAACGTATGTGGTAAGTTGCCAAAGTGCTTTTTTCTGAACGTTCATCAGTATTATGATCAAAAAGAGAAATATGAACGTTAGTTTTTACTGAAATGATCAAATAAAGTCAACATCTCACAGTCTTTACTGAGCTGTGTGGGGTTTGTTCAACTTTTAAAAGATGTTTGAATGGTGATATACACAGTGATAGATGGTAAGGACTAACGTTTATAATAAATACATTTATGATTTTAAGATATTTTCATACAATCATACGTATTGGGATCATTTGTATTAATGTGGACCGGAGGGAGAGGGTGACGAGCATAAGTTTCACTTTCCTTTTTAATTTCAATTCCAACTTTGGTCATGAAGAATATGTTTCTCTGTTGTCCACGTTCATAAAGCATAAAGCAACAGCATCAGAGCACGGTGCAGAGTCTCTAGATGAGTTTACAGTAGTCCCTCGTTCTTATTAAACATCCATGTTGTAGTCCGCTGTCCGGGGACACATATTCATGTATAAAATACGTACAAAAGTGCATTTTGCATGATAGGTCCCCTTTAAGTAAAGTCAACATTTCAGTTTTTTTCAGTGTAGATGGTATAATGTTTACCATGATCAACATCTGAGTTTAGCATGCTAGCATTTGTTCAAAAGCAGCAGTATGTACAGCTAAGGCTTCAAACCCCAACGCTACACCTCTAGCTTGGCTGACAATTTTACTGAAATATGGGCTCTCAGTTGTCGGTGACTTCCTGCCGGCCCGGCCTTGCCCACTCCTCCAGAATGCCATGCGGACCTGTCACTGCTCCTCTAATCTCCATACCAGCCAATGACCTCGAGTCATAATTGTGATGTATGGCCAAAGACGTAGCACCTTGGTTGCTGACCTTTCCCACAATCCTATACCCGGCAACCTTCATCACCTCTACCCCTCCCCTTCCTCAAACAGCCGTAGTCTTGTAGGGGGGGGGGGGACTCCATCCTCCACCCTCCACCCTCCCTCTCCCCCATCATCCCTGCATCTCGTCGTTGGCTCGATGAACGCGGCTCGCCACACTCCACTGGCTCTATGAATGTTAATGTAGGGAGGGGGGGGGGGGGGGAGGAGGGGAGTGTGGCTGCATGGTACAGGGAGCAGCTTCACCTGGTCTGCAATGCACATCTATAAGGAGCTTTTTGTTCATATTGGGGGAGCTTGCTTTTATGTTGCAGTAATATCATGGTATGAGCAGCAGAATTAGGACACAAAGCAACCGAGTTATTGTGTACACAGCATATTCAATTCCTCCAGAAAATGAAAACAGACATTGGATACAGGATTTTTGCTGGTTTATTATTACATACAATTTATTTTTTAAAGAAGTTGGTGATGAGATTTGACTTAAAGGCGTCCGTCTTGCAGCACGTTTGTCTGAATTTGAATTAGCCCTCCTCTCTGTGGCCCCGGTGGTCAGTTAGTCAGCCAGTGTTTACCAAGCTCTGACAGAATGAGAATGTATGCATTATGTGGCGATGATCGCAGGGTGGTGTAATCTTTGACCCCCGTGGCACGTTCCAAACGCAGATTGAAGATTAAGCTCCTCATGCTGCTGGCTGACAGGCTGCCTCTCTGGAGAAATCCACTGCCTGACTGGAACACTGGCCTCTCTGCAGTGTGGGAGATACACTGCGTCATTCATTTTAATTGTTCATCTATACATGAAAATTGCTTTCCTGAAATGCGTCTTCATCATTTAAGTCTTTCATTATAAACTCTACACAGCCTTGGAATGCATAGGGACATCTCATTCAGAATCACTACCATTATGAAACTGTATGCAAACAAAGCCAGTCGTGTGACATCACTGTTTTACTTCCTGTTAGAGTTTCAGCTTTCACTCGGCTAGACTGCGACTGTATGGCACCATGTTCTGGGTACTACAGTTAATGGAAATGGACTTATTTGATTACTTATCCCTTTTGTTTGCTCCGCCACAGAACATGCACATGCATAGTCATTGGATTAGTGGATTTACATGTGCATTTTGATGAAAATCATGCGTGTATATTTAGCTATTCTAACCCCTACTTCATTCATGAAATCTGAATTCTTGATGTATTGGCTTTGATTGAGTTAAATACAGAATGGACATACATTTAAGCAAAGGCATTATAGGACTCAAGCACAATGACATATCTTTTTCAAATCTGTGTATATTTACTAGGTATACTAAAATACAACTGAAGTTAAATTGAGAGGAGGCAAAACAGGTGAATGTAATGGATGTCACCCCGTAAGTATCATCTTTTACATTAAGATATTTGTACACTTAAAATGTCAGAATACTTATATAACACAGATTGGCGTTTGAGTCTACGTATTTTTTCTGAATTTTGCAGAAATCTACAGACATAAATAGTTCTAATTAAATAACGTTATTGCTTAAATGTGTACTCGGATGTTTTCTTTTCCCCACTAGTCTGAAATTCCAAAATCTCAAAATGATCATTGCATATAAAGAACGTTTTTAACTGTAGTGTCTTGCATTAAATGATGCTCGCCGTTAATGCTCTAAAATATTTCATTTTCCATATTGATGATTTTTTAAAGGTACTTTTAGAAAAGTAAAGTAAACTTAACTTTATAAGAGCATTCTCAAACTCAAAGGAAATGTGTTTACAGTAGGCAAGCTTCACAATATATTACATTGTGATGCACTTTTCATATAAATGTACAAGTAAAATTCTATTATCATGGTAATATACTTAAATTAAAAGGTGATTTTAATGTGTGAATACATATATTCACACAATCTAATGAAACATTTACACGCTTTATATTGTATTAGTATGATATACTGTAAGCCTGGGCGCCTCCCTAGGGAGGTGTTCCAGGCACGTCCAGCTGGGAAGAGACCAAGGGGTAGACCTAGGACCAGGTGGAGGGATTATATCTCTTCGCTGGCCTGGGAGCGCCTTGGGATCCCCCAGTCAGAGCTGGTTGATGTGGCCAGGGAAAAGAAAGGTTGGGGCTCTCTGCTGGAACTGCTACCCCCGCGACCCGACCACGGATAAGTGGGAGAAGATGGATGGATGGACTGTATGTATGGAAATGTTATTGTTTAAGAAACTTGGGATACTGAACAATTGATCAGTTTTGCTTCATTTGAAGATGAAAAATGCTGAGACAACTTGGTTAACAACGTATCGTCCCATATGTCAGATCTTTTTTTTTCTCAAATCTTTGATTATTTCGCAAAGGGAACATATTTGAGGCAACTATGCCCATGTAAAACACCAGGCATTTTGTATATGAGGTCTCTCTGAGGTGACAGATGCAGACTTTTGACCCAGAGGTCACCAGTTTCAGGAATGATCTACCAACAGCTACTCAGAGGTGTCTCAGAGTGGCTGGTCTGAAATACCCTATCCAGCATGGTTAAAATGTAAAAAGGCAGGCAGGCAGACGGAGATGAGATGAGCTCTTCAGAGTCCTCAGCCTGGAGAGAAATAGAACAGCTGGGGCCCGGCGCTCCCTCTGTGTCGCTCCACTCTTTGTCACGGGCAAAAGATTCTTGTTTTCAGGCAGTAATCAGACAGCCCTGGGGCTCTGTAAAGACCCTGTTCTCTTTTCATCTCAACTGTTGCATACACCCTGCTAATTGGAATCCTGCAACTGGGTCACAGGCATTGTCTCAAGTGCTGTCAAGTCATTGAGACGCGTGAATGTGGAATTATGGCTGCCTCAGATGCATGATTGAGTCTCCCCCCTGCGCTATCTTAATGCCTCCATTTCAATCTCATCGCAGACACTGATTTTCTCATTTTTTCAACATTAATATTTCTTGCTGCCTGGTCCGTTTTCTGTCAGTTTAGACTGAACCCAGCCAGCTTGGAAATCGGAAAGTAAAAGAAAAAAAATCTATAAATATCGCCTTGGCACCTCACATGAAACCTTATTTAACATAAGCCTTTTTTAGACTGAGTAACTACATATTTTTTATTATAACTTTTTGGATCTTCAATCTTAAAAGAGAAAGGATAACAACAAAAAGTTTTCTTCATTTTCACCAACCAGCCAAGAGTTTTAGGAGGAACTCTATTTGTCGGTGATTAAAAGAAGAATTAGCCAGCCTAGCATGGCGCCACAAATGAGCAAAACCCTGTGGGAGACCGGAGAGACCAAGCAAGGCACATTTCCAATTATACAACCAAATGACTCATTTTCTTATTGGGCCTCCTATAATTGTGGTGGGTATTGGGTGCATGCAACTCAATTTGTCTCACATATTTGTTGGTGGGACGGGGAAAGAGTTGACAGAGCCAAGGGATGACGTGAAAGAATGAAACAAAAAAAATAAAAAGAGGGGCTGAGATAGATCCCTCAATATTTATTTGATCTGCTTCATCCTCCTTAATACTGTTGAAGTTTAAAAGCCAGGAAGAAAATGCCACTTTAATCATCTGTGGATTGAGGAATGGGAAGACTATCATTTTCGAGTAATCAGAAAATGTCTCTCCAGAGTAATAGACTTCGTTCTGACTGCTGGAATTAATGAGGCTTCCAGTGATGTGATTATCTGTCCCGGGGATCATCAATATATACAACAACAAAATTGACAAATTAAATTATTGCAATTTCTTGGAAACTTGAGTTTGGTTACTTAGATTTAAAGCAACAAAAAAATAAAAATAAATAAACGTTTGACTTCAAACTGAGTTGGGTAGGCTTTATTACATTTGCAGACAGTTAGAGCTCATCACTGTAAATTGTTCTCCATGTTTGTACAGGAAGCAACCAGTTACTTATAAAGCAACTACATGTCAATACAGGCAAATCAAAGGCACAGCACTGACCACAAAGCCATTTCACATTGCTGACGTTGCATTTCTTCTGCAGAGAATATGAGATCCATAGACATTTATTTCAGCATTATGGTGCAGTGTGTACTCTCGTACAGTTGCCACAATCTGCTTGTCCGTAAGTAACAAATCAAGCAGATAAGTAATTATCAAACATGTTTCTCAAAAATGTATATTAAAAATAAGTAACATTTCATACACTTTAAATAGAACAGTAAGTTTGGATTACAGTGAATGAAACACTGTGTTCGATGTGTAACATGTAAATCCAGTGAACAGTACTCTTTCACACGCTGACATTAATGAGTTGAATTAGTGCAAATTCAAAAATATTAATTTGTTTGTTTTAAGTATTCATAAAAAGGGGTACAGGCTATTTAGAAACAAACACTATTAGTATCGTTGTCAATACTCATTAAAACCATCATCACCTCTGTCTATATTACCGTTGGTACCGATGTGTTTGTATGCGAGATGCGTCCTACACTCTGATTCTGGGTGAGGTAACAGTAAACAGTAAAGTGCGTCCGCAGCAGCATGTGTGTGAACCGTGTGAGTGAGAACAGAAGGGGCAGCTGTGGGTTTTGTTGCGAGGAGCGCGGCCCGTGGCGGGCTCTCCACAGGGTAACTGTGAAGCAGTGGGGGTCTAAAAGGGACCCTGTGCCCGCTCCCCGCTGGGCTCTCCTGTCCGGATCTGTTGTATGTAGTGTTCCCCCGCCTTTGTTCAGTAACTAAGTGTTCCCTGCTTACGAAAGTAAAACCCCTTCTTTCTCACTAATGCCCCCTCCCAAGCAATGTGTTGTCTGTTGGTCATCAAAACACTTGTGGTTTTTAACAAGCATATGTCACAAACCATTGTCATATGACAACAACATACAAATGTATAGTCGTGTTGAGGCCCCTGGTAGACCTGGGCATATTATTAGAGACTAGTTTTTATTTCTTTTTTAATTGCTCTTGAATTAAAAAACACAGATTTATCGAGCGGACGTGCGATACGTTAGCGGGAGATATTTGGACAACATGTTCAGTATTTGTTAGTTGTCCGAGCTCTTGCTTATTGAGAATCATAGCCAACGGTTCATCTGGGGTCCCGGCAGCTGCTAGGGGCCCCTCGCGTTGGCTCCTCCAGACTCGGGGTCCCCGCCCAGGAGCGGGGTCTGGCTGTGGAGGCGGTCCGAGAAGAGCATCAGCCAGGCGGAGGGAGGAGAGGCCGGGCCCCCCCCCCTCAAGAGGAGGCCGACGTCTCCATGGTGGACAGGATGCGGACAACCTCGGCTCTCTGCGTGGGCGAAATGTGCTGAGTCATGTACACGATGGAATCCATGGCAACCTCCGGATTGGCTTGAACGAGGCTGGAAATAAAAGTAAAAAGGAGATCAAGGGAGGGAAATAATTTGTTGACATTTTGAATCTAAATTGTTGCGGGCTATCACCTGCGGATCTGCTTGAGGATGTGGTCTCGGCGGATGCACTTGATGTTCTCGTCGACCACAGACCTGGCCCCCTCCTCTTCAGCCAGCTGCCTCTCCAGCCAGGACACCACCTCTTCGTTATTATCCCACAGATAGGCCTGTGTGAGGCAGGGGACATGAATCATTGTGAGGACGATTCAAGTATTCCCTTTTTTGATATCAAGCCTCAAACACAAGATGCGTTTCAAATATTATATGAAGACATCATTCTTTTATTTTTGTCACGTGCTGACGATGGGGCTTTTTAGACAAACTAGACCAAATAAAACAGTGAAAAGTTTGAACATTTAGGGAGTGGATTTATTTTCTTCATATATTCATTCATAGATAGCATATCATCAAAAATAAAATGTGACAGTCAACCCATTTTTCCCAGCGTTTCACAAAGAATTCAAATGTATGATTAATATATGGACTTATTTAGAGTTGGGCTTTCCCATTTGTCACAACTAGCCACTACTTTTCAGCCATTTTTAAAGTATGAGTTAAAAAAATGGTTCTAACTCAAATGACATCCTAATATAGCCTGTACCAATTATTTATCCCTTTCAAATAATGGTGAATCTGGAGGAGATTCCATCATAGTGGGACTTCCTCCAATTGTGTTAACAGGAACACATTTATTTCAACTGTACATCCATTTTATTTTCCATTCTTCCAAAGATATAATTATACACAAAGTTGAAAGTGTTTTAAGTTTTGATAACCCTATATACATTAACAACATGAGTCTACTACCAGTATTTGAATTACTCGAAACTTGGCATAGTAATATTCCTGTATCTTTTGGTTGACACTGTGCTGTATGTGCAGGTAACAAGATAAGTCTATTTCTTAAGGATTGTCTCTTTAAGTCTTCTTAAACTGAACAGCTTCCCTCCTCTTACTGTGCTGCATAGAACAGTTATTCCTTTATCTGTGCAATCCCTTCAATTAAATATATAATTTAGTGAAGTCTTTGTTATATGGGTAACTTGTAATCTATGGGTAACTTGTAATATTTCTTCAATTTATTAAATGTATTTCTAGATGAATAAGACTTTTCTTTTAACTAATTTCAACATGAAGCTTAAAAATAGTCCCAAAAAATGTAAACATGTGTCTAGACTCTACAATATCATGTATCAACCCATATTGTAATATCAACTAGAACACAGGAGATGGACAGGCTCAAAGGGGGCCGGATGTCTTGTTGACTGGACCTGATAGAGAGGAATTAATATTCATGAGTGTCGCCATCTCTGATCCCAAACAAAGCCTGCAGGCTGGAGGGCTTAGCAAAGATTTGGGGGCTGAGGGCTTTAACGGGCTCTTGCCTTTTTATGAACAGTCCTGCTTGAGGTCCACAAGAACATTTAATGCCCTTATTAATCATTTTTAATCTGTTTGCTTTTAATTAAGAAACAGCGTGTTGCTCTCCTATCTGCACGTGCCAGGGCTGTGATTAATTGTGGCTTAAGACAGGCCGTCCTGATTGGGATAATATATGAGAGAACAAGAGGGCCACTTCTGAGGAGATGTCAGACGCAGGGTCGGCTCCTCTGAGCCCCCAAACTGGCCATGATGGAGCAGCATTTATGGATCTCTGAGGGGTGTTTATTTTCATGAACTACCGGGTTATCAGTCCATCAGTATTTCATGGCAATGATTCGATAGGAATGGTTACTACTTCTTTATCTAGTGCACCTCCAGGAGAAGAAATGCGCTAGAAACAACCATTGTAATCATTCCCAGGGGGTTCACTTGAGAATGTAGCCACTTTCCCTGACCTTATTTCAGAATGAGCCATTTCAAAAAGGCAGAGAAAAGACTCATTCTTCCACATATGTGCTGCTTATGCTTTATCAGTCTTCTGTCTTTTTTGGTGTGCTTTAGGGCATTGAAAATAAATAAAAACCTTTCCTGATTTCCACGGTTATTAGGCTTTGTATGTCGGAAAAGAGGAAACGGATACTGTGGTATTCTATGCATTCTTTTTGTTCCTACATTCAATCGTTGCAAAATCTATTTTAATTTGAAAAATGTAAGTTGCAAAGAACCAAAATGTGACCAGTCAAATAAAGCTTGACTGGCAAAATGTTGTTCGTCAAACTCATACCAAGTACCCTTTCTGACGTGCTGTTAATCACAATAGTTTGTTAACATGTTAGAAAATGTGTGCCAACTGAATCAATTCTACCATCATCGATGTAACATTCATTTATGTATGTGGCTTTAAATAACTTCATGTCAATATTAAAAAACAACGACAGCTAAAATCAACACAATCAAGACTCCATCACACACATACACACACACTTCATGCCTCTAAATGTTTCTGTTTCATATGGTTGTTGAGGTTCTGTCTCAATCATTTGTAGTCTCTCTATACCCGGGATGATATGGTATTTTTAATTCTAATGCACAACTGTTATCAATTTTTTTTAAATCAATGTATAGGATTGAACAAACTAGAGACCTGAATTTCGCCAAGGGGATAAACAAAAGAATATTCTATATCTATTGCCTATTTCCTGCCCAGACACTACAAATGTAAATTAGCCCATAGCTAACTCTGGTATAGCTAACAAGCCCTGCAACTGTCAAACCAACACATATACAAACAGATACAAATCTAAGTCCATTTCACACACAAGCAAATCTATAAGACATTAACTATGGTATTCTACATTTCCTCCCAAATTCTCTGGATATATAAAACAAAGGTCATGAGTACACGGTGGGGTTTTACCTTGACGGCCCCCTCGGCCTCCACGAACCAGCGGCGCAGCATGGCCTGGATCTGTCCGTCTGTCAGCTCGCCGTTGGCCGCTGAGATCTTACTCTTCACCGTGTCCTCCAGCAGCAGACGCCGCAGGCGCCAGTAGAAGAACTGACGGGATGTTTGCCAATCAAGGATATCCTGAGACAAAAAAACACATGTAATGTCGTTGCAGCTTCTGTTATGAGGAGCTATTATCACCTTTGTTTTACAATTCAATAAATGTCAGTGTCTGTTTTTCTGCAGTGATGTCACAAAGACAAAGAACTCATTAAGGAGACAGACTACCTGGCAGAAAGGACGTACGTTTAAGTTTCATTTGGTTTAAAAAAAACAAAAACGCCTTTTATTTTTGACACAGTCCCAGGCTGTAGAAGTGTGGATTGATGTAACACAAATATGAAACAATGTGCTTCTTTATTTCGTTGTGGATTTACAAGTGAGACAATGTTAATGAGGGTTGGTTCAAATGCAGTTGTCCTTCAAGCCCATACTGTGTGTACCAAACAGACCGCTCACATGACCAGAAGGGTCTTCACAGATGGATGGCAGTCAAACGGAGTGTGTGTATGTTGTGTGTGAAAAATGGGAGTGTGAGGGCACAGGATGAGATTGTGCCTGCCCGAGGCGGCTCTGCGGTTTCTAAGGTGATTGACCGGGGTCATCGCAAGATAATTATGAGGACGAGTCTCACAGACCAAACATTATTCACACAGGCAGCAGCAGCAGCAGCAGCTACACTTAGACTCCCCTGTGGGCTTTTCTGGTTAGTCACATACTGCAGTTCACACTTTAACGGTGCATGCATGTAAGAAGTGCTCACCGTTATTACACCCTTCTCTTGCATGCGACCCGGGGTGTCATGGAGGTCTGCAAACTGCACGGCCACCTGGTGGTAGATGGGCAGGAGGAACTCCTCTCGCTCCTTCAGCTTGGTCTCCAGCTCTTTACATTCAGAGGGATTCAGCTCAGGGGTTCCTGTTGGAAAATGGTACCATCAAACTATTTTGTTAAACCAAATGCCTGTAGGTTTCGATTACAAGCTGTGCATATAGACAAGGAATCACAGGTCATCCTAAAAGCAGTATTACAAAACACTTTTGAAGGTTGTAACTAATCTTCCATAACTTGAATCTTAAGTGTTATTGGTTTACTTGGACCCCAATTCCTGGTTTGATGTAGGTGTGGTCATGTACCATACATTACTGCATTCACCTGTTTTTCTGAATACAATTTAAAGTTATAAAAATACTAAGAATTCGGAATTCTTGGATAGCTGTCTTATTATTTCTCACAAACTAGCCAGCATCAAATGTGCACAAAAGAACACTGTAAACTTAAACAAAACGTTTGCACAATAATGGTTTGAAATAACTTTGACTTGGTGTGTAAGGTGTTCATCAGAAGCAATTTGTAGGTGCTACTATCCTAAAGTATGTTCAGGGGCCTCATTTATAAAGGGATATACGCTCAAAAAATGGCGTACGCCAGTTTCTACGCAATGTTTGCGATTTATAAAATACTAACTTGACGGGAAAACGTGCGGTCCTCCACGCAAACTCTAACCCATGCGTACGCACTAAGCACAACAACGGGAGAGACGAGAAACTGCGACACCGTTGGCAGAAGGAAGAATGGAGAGAAATATGTGGAAATAATACCATAAATAAAATGTTACCTCTCATTTATCATATATGAAGAATTCATTTTCACACATTGATTAAAGCCAATCTTAAAATGATTAAACAAACGCCTGTTTGAGACTCCTCAGTGCACACAAAAACATAACTTGGAGAAATAAATAAATACGGATATGTTATTTAAAACCACCTCGAATATGTTGCGTTAATGTTATGAAATGTTTTCTCATAAATGATGCGGTAAGCAGGAGGACAGAATTACATCTAAACTGACGCCGTGTTGCATTTCTATAGGTTGTAGATACGAGTATGGTTTTATATACTACCACGTTGAGACTTGATAAGTCGCTCGTAAAACACAGGAGGTATGGAAGCTAAGAACACCATATGTGGCCAATTGTACAGCTGATATAACACAACACATTAGTTGTATTTCCTTTAACTGGTGGATATAGAGTTGCTGCAGTGGAGAGGCAGCGCACAGCTGATCGACAGCTGGGACACAAACTACCAAATACAAAAACATAATTCAGATCCAGTCGTCATGACTCCACTCCAGGGGGATTCCCCGATCATTTCTTACAGTTTATCATCAAGGGGGGGTCTCCTGTCCCCGGCACAAACACACTGCCTGAGGAAGGCTATGTGTATTTATTTTGTCATTAGACTTTTTCGGACCACTTATTTATTTATGTTGGTGACGATCCGACCTCCATGATGCTACTCTGGTTCAAACTGCATCCACCAAACAATATGATTGATCTCCACCTCCCCCAAAATAACCAAAATCTGACACGGTGTGAGATGTCTTTTTTAGCTGTTCTGTCGTCATTTCCTGCGATCTTCTTCATAAAGTCAGTCAGAATGAATGAATGGGCGTTTCTTTGACTATTTATAGGCAAATATGGGCGTTACGTGAAGCCCGCAAAAGCTGCACCACATTTCAAGTCGGTTATGATTTATAAAGGGAAACCGGCGTAGGAAGTGCCGTACGCACTTTCTTCGCCGGTACGCAATGTTTGGTGAATCGGAAAATGTCGGAACATTTCTGTACCTATTTTTTGGATTTCTACTACGTAAGCAACCTTCCCACGTGAATCCTACGCACAACGTTTTAAATGAGGCCCCTGGGCTTTTGTCACGTAGTTACAGTTCTGGACTCTTTTTTTCTCACGTAAAGCGAAGCATCATCTGCAAAAACATCTGTTCAAATCACACAAATATCCCGTTGCATGCTTGTTCTGAACCTATTAACCGTAAACTGCCAAACCACTGGGGATTTCCCACCGCGGTAAGAAAATAAATCCATACCGTCACATCCCTAGTCCCATTACCATCAAATGAGCTTTCTTCATGAGCATGCAGCGGTGAATTAACTCCTTTTGTTTCGGAGCCACCCCCCAAAACCCCTGGCTGTTGTCACCAAAGACTGATTTCTGTCAATTCCAATCTGTGAGCTCTGTAACCACTCCCCAGTAGCCCCTCCATTCCTCCCATCGGCCCTCAGCGTAGGGCCCACATGGAATTGGAGCACCGTTTCTCTGAGCCTGGGGGAAAATCAATACGCTGTGCTGGAGAGACAGAGAGCTGGGGATTGATCTGAGCAGGCTGTGATTGACACGTCTCCCGGGGGAGTGCGGTGAAGATGATACTATCAACACCAAATAAAGAACGACTGTGAACGCACACATGCTCCGACCTGATGGATTTCTCCTGGCCAAAAAATGAGGACAAGGCCGAGGGGGGACGCCAGTAAAGGGCTATAATTAGAATGCAAGAAAACCGGAGGACTCACCCAGTCTTTCAGCTAAGCTCATGTAGATCGGATCCACTCGCCTCATCGTCTTCACCAGGTCCTTCTTCCGGAATTTGATCTCCACCGTTCCTTCGGGCTCCAAAACTCCACCTCTGGAGACAAGAGTGATTTAAGTGAGCTTAGACGGGTTTGATAAGATGAGTCCTTTTGTGCGCCTTTTCTTTCCAACTCACCGGCTGTCCTTGTCAGCGTACATCTCCATGTGACGAGGGTTGATGGTGGGATCTATGACCACCCAGGATCCCCCCCTCAGCTCAGCCTGGGGGGGGATATAAACCAGGACCGGCTGCCTGTACTCCCGCAGCCCGTCCACGATGTAGGCCCCGAACTTCAACACCTGGTCGTACATATCTAAGAGGGGAGAATTTCATGAGAATGGGTTTGATCCTGCATTGATGATAACCACGGAAGTAGAAGTACCTTTCATTCCTCCAGAAAAGCCCCTCCAGTTGGCAAACACCATCAGAGGGAGCCCCTCTCTGTTCAGGTCCTTAATGGCCTGCGCCGTCTTGAAAGCAGAATCTGGGAACCACACCTGTCCGGCCTGCTGGATGATCTAAATATACAAATCAGAAAATCTTCATCAGCACAAGGGTCTCTGTAAATATCAGAACACTAGAGTTTGGGGTGAGGAAAGTGAGATTAAATATAATCTATTGTGGGTTGTTGAGTGGAATTCAGCAAAGATAACAATTAATTATATTTGTTATAAAAGGGGCCGCCATTAGACACCCCTTGGTTCAGTCTCCCAAACAAACACCCAAGTGCGTGTCGTGTATGAGCATGGATGCGCGTTTAAGCTGTGTATTGGAGGGAAGCTGTGAACAGGGAAAGGCTCTAAAGAGAGATAAAGAAGTGAAGCACCAAAGCGAGTTTGTGTTTTAAGGTCAGAAAAGTTAATTACTTTATTATTAAAGTATATCATTATTATTATAATTATTATGGTAAGAGCATGTAGGAACTGACAAAAAAAAGAAAACGCATTTTGGCGAACATGACAGGCAATTTACATTCACTCAATAAGACAGACAATCCATCCCAAAAATGATAAATGAATAAATACAAAAGTGGAATCAATAAACAATATTAGTCAATTGAACATAATAATTAAGAAGAATATTCTAATTTTGAAAATACCACATGTAAATTGTATTTCATTTCAATTGTGTCAAACATGTTTTAAACTTGACAATAAGGAATACATTTCCAAGTGATAGCATGATCTTGCAGATATGATCATACGCATCAAAAGGGTCAAATCAAACCGTTTTGTTATTTAAGAAAAATATGTGAAATGTATTGCAGATATTATTTTAAAGTTATATAACCAGAGTCCTTCTTGAATACATGCATTGAGCGACCCCTTACCTTCGCATCGGAGTCCAAATTGGCTGGATCGGCTGGGATTGACAGCTCGACTGACCTGGTTTCCACGGCAACCACCCCAGTAGGTATCCCACCCAGCCTGTAGAGCGAAGACATTCAGACATGTACAAATGACCTTGACTACGTTAACAGTGATTATTGCCAGTGTGTTTTGCCGGGACACTCACCTGGCTCTGCCGACCACCACGCTCTGAGCCCATGGCTGCATGATCTCCATGAAGGAGCCCTGGTCAAAGAAGCCACTCTGCCAGGAGCCCTTTGGAGCTGTGAATGAGGAATGAGAGTCGTGTGAGTGCAACATGAATGAAAGGGGAGTTACTTATTGCAAATTGGAAATGCAACTGAATCAATTTCCTGGACATATTCCCTCTCTTTCTATGGTGTTCTTTTCAAAACCTGCAGCTTCATTCCTCCTGCGGTCCCGACTTGTGTATTTCTCCTCCCTCAGAATGGGTAATCTTGGCAGCAAACCATGATGGATGACTGCAGAAGGAGGGCTTATTCAGCTGTTTTTCTGCCCGCGCACCCCGAGAAACATGCCCAGTCTGTGAGGTTACCATTCAATTAAGCCTCGCCACTCATGAGTACCAGAGTCGTTGACTGGCTACCCTCGCAGCCCCCCCCCCCCAATCTCTTTCCTGTCCCAAGCCGTAATTACACTGATGTGGAACCTGCTAAGTCCTGACCTGCAGTGTAAAACACGCCGAATCCATTTCGGCGCTATCTTGATCTAGCTGGTAGACATATGATCTTATACCTCATTGTTTCTCTATTAGTTTCTTAACAGGCTCTCTAGTGATGAATTATGTTCACCTTTAACCCTGGGAGTATAAGGATTAAATGATGATGCTTTTTACTTTATAAATAACACAAAATAAATAGGAGTATGGCTCTTTACAACTGCTGATAAAGCACTTTGAATAGAAATGATTAGTGGAGGAAATGAGCAAATGTTGAAGTATATAAATGACCACACAACCATAATAATGTATGAGGCGATAGAACGTTCAATGCAGTGTTTGATGAGGCCGCTGAGAGAACGGCTGCAACCAAGGCTGAACTACTTGGACAAATTATAATAACAAATGTTTTTGTCCGATTCATTTGTTTGCATCATTATTCTCTTTAATCAAAAGATCTAAAGGAGCCTCCGTTGGTCTCCTTTGTTTACTTCCGTAACATAGTGACGTCACCACGTAACACTTCAACACATGGTGATAAGCTAAGGGGTGGGACATCTCTAATTAAAAAAAAGAAAGATCTTTTTGAACATTAAAGCATGTCAAAATGTCACAGAAGAAGCACACAATACAAATATGAACCTCACAATGAGCATAATAGGGCCCTTTAAGTCCATTGCATATGATTTGAGGCCAGGGTATCTCAGCAGTCGCACAATATGTCATTCAGAATGGTGTTTTCACACATATTTACAGCTTCTGCTTCAATTGGGACAGTGCTAGTCTATATAACAATTTGAATAGGATTCGGATAAGTTGTTCAGCCTAGCTGTAACTTGCGATTGTTTTTATGTGAATAAATCTGTTATTAAGACAGAGTATTTAGTCTATAAATAGTCAAAATGGTGAAAAACGCTGGTGAAAGTTCAATATGGCCCAATTTATTGTCTGAACATGTATATTTTTTTGTTCAAAACTAGCAACAGAAAAGCAACACGTTTCCACTCACTCTGGCTGGGACGTCCTGCTAGCATCCAGCGAGGGTCATACGGAGCCTTTGTAGGGATAAACTCCACCAGCCGATCTATGGGATCCTTCGCATCAAGGATTGGCCCTGGACTCGAATTAGTCTGAAAAAAGGAAATCATTTAATTTTAGAGCAGCAAACAACATCCAACATCCAACTCTTAACATTTTCACACGTTTATTCTCACACTGATAGAAGATGCATCCAAACATTACCATGGGCATGTAGGACAGCCACTCCAGCAGCGTGTACACTCCCTCAAAGTCATCACACACGGCACAGTGGGTAACACCGTTGTTGTGCATGATTTGGATGCCACCAAGTTGATTGTTTGATGTGTACACTTCTCTGCCCAGCACCTGGAGTGGGAAAAAGATAAGTGTGCATTTAACAATAGGAAAAATATAGTTTTCTGTTGTGATCCAAGATGCCGTTTGTTTTTTTGTTTGGTCAAATGTCCTAAAATAGTGAAAAATTATACTTTGATATTACTAAAGAAACATTTTGCTGTAATTTAAAGGATGCCAAAAACACTGCAAGTTTGAATTCATGCCCCGACAGGTTTGTCCGCAGTACAACAAGGAGACAACTTTTAATATGCTCGTTTCGTGAATACATTTTGGACATTCTAACATTGTAGCTACTATATCAACACTCAAAACGTCATCATGGAATTAATACGTTAGGGATTTATACAATTGACAGTCCATTTGTACAGGTATATTTATACACAGAGAATTTCACCTGGTCTCTGTGATGACAATTTTGGAGCAAAGAACAGGAACTCAAGAAATACACTGGAGAGCTTTGAACTGATGTCAGACACTGAAGATTTATTGGAAGTTACGGCCGGAGAATTGACAAAGACATTTGCTGAGACGCCGTAGAGACACAGGCTCCGCCCAAACCTACTCTGAAGTCATATTACCCCGTCCCGGACACTTAACCACTCCTAAGAGCATAATCTACATTAAAAGACGCTGCAAATCCTGTCCCTCGCAGGGTCAAACTGACTTAAAAGTAAAGATTGTTTTATGGTCATATCTAAGACGTGCGCAAAGAAAGAGCCTGCCTTACCCGTAGAAACAGCTCTCCCAAGGCTGTTTGCCTGCCTAGGACAGAGGAATGAGAAGTACAATTAAGGGCCCTATGAATAATTCCCTATCAGTCTCTGTTCCAATTAAAGGTTGAGCCACAGCTGCCCAGAGATGGCTGTTTTCCCTCCATCTCTTATTCAACAACACCAGGACGTCAGTGAGACAGGAGGATAGTTTCATCAACACTTCTCAGACTGTATTATATATTTTTGCCTTGAATGCAGAAAGAAAATGCTGTTCATGGAGGTGTTGTCTCCAGGCTTCTGGTGTGGGGGAGGGGGGGGATTTGGATCAATGAGATCGCACACAGGCATGCCAGGTAACAGCAGGGGGCCTGCATACAGAGTCTATACAAGTGATCAGCAAATAGAAATCTCTCAACCACAGCGATCAGAGGTGGGAGGGTGCACACGACACTCTTCCTGGGGGATTATCAGATTTTCACATGCACTTTCTCGTAAAAAGAAAATTGAATTAATTCAACAATGTTAAAGCCCTTTTTATCATTATGTTTCAATTAGCTGATGATTTATCCAAAGCAACTTATAATATGTGCAATCAATGAGGAAGATACAAAGTTCAAATGTCAATAATTCTGCAAGTGTATTCCTTTTGAATAAGACACACTATTTAAGTGGAAATAAGCCAGACATGCTTAAGTGCTAATAAATATTTGATCTGTTTTTGTTGGCCAAGGTGGGTTTTTAGTATGCAAGGGAATTTGAGTAGGTTTTCTGCTGTCCTGATATTAATGGGGAGCTTGTTTCACCGTATATTCTGAACATCTCTATACCTCCATCCAGCAGTTGTGAAAGAGGCTGTTGTATAAGAGTGATCTGGAAGCCACCAAACCCATTTTACCTTCAGAAATGCCCTGTGCCAACCGGAAGCCATAAAATCCTCCCACAGCCCACCCTATTTTCATAAGCAGCCTCGAACAGGTGGCAGGGCCCTGACATGGTTCCATAAAAATCAGAGAGGAGCTCAATCCCTACCCTCCGCTCTCACCTTTTCAGCCATCATTTACTTTCTTTATTACCATTAATGGTTATGTATCCGGCTACAAATCTAGGGCGCCCTCCTAAAGCTGTCAGGAGAGCCCACGGCCCCGAGAAACATTGCAGTCACCTTGACATACACAAAACCCCGGAGCCTCCGGCCATCGCCCGGGCTTCATTAAGATTCCGCAGCAGAGAGGAGGAGGAACAGAGGGAGGAAGAAAATGAAGGGGAGAACTGGATGAAACAGCTCACTGGGGTATTTATGCTAGTAGTTACTATCCACTCCCCATGAAAATATGAGAGATTTCCAGCAGCTAATGGAATGATGATCTCAGGGTTGCAGCCTCCTGCTCTCCATTACGTTTCAGTTAATAGCCAGGAAGCCACATGATAAACAGGCAGACAAAAACTGCCCTATTTATGCCTGTATAGCGGGTGGGATTAGTGCCGTTTTAAAGTAAACACCGTTAATTGTACACAAATGATATATTGGAACACATCACCTAGACCATGTTGACACTCGTCAGTAAAAATGAACATGAGTCTACTCCCACAAATAGAGCTAAACACTGCGGCATCTAAAAAACAATTGAGCTCCCAGAAAATAGGTGTGCCATCATGGGACCATTTGCATGATTTGCCATGTTGCGATCTGTCATCTAATTTGAAATGGAGTTATCTTAATGCACTGACAAGGACAGAGAATGGAAAGCAAGACAAAAGGAAGTAGTGAAGCGTAACACACACATGCATACACACACAGCAATCAACTGCTTGCAAGAAAACAATCTGCCTCAGCAAAACTTTTTCTTTTTGATTAAAAACAAATGATATGGTTGTCCTGCACTGCAGCCTCCGGCATGTCACTCTATTTCTATGCAAATACAACTTCATGGTTCACTTTCAATTATTCCGCCGTGAGTGGCAGGCAGGCCCGTGGCTGGGATCGGAGAGGGGAACCTGGTAGAACAGAGCGAGGCAGGAGGAGGCCTGATCGCCCGGTTGGAACAGCACCAAAATCATAGCACACACTATTCTAATTTTTCTTTCTTTGAAATATAGGCATTCATCTACGCTGTGTCATTTAACATTCCAAAATCTGCAGTTTATGTTAATTTATCACTGAAAAATAACAATGATACAGAAGGGAACTGGCGATTTAGTTTTTTATAGCAGGTTGCAATGAAAAATCCCCACAATTTGGGTGATTTTTTTAATACAAGATTTATCATGTATGAAAGAAAAGAACGTTATCTGCAGGGGGATATTAGGATTTATGATTGCTTATTTTTCACTTTGAAACGATGTGCACCTACAAAGAATGAGCACTATCTGTGCAATAAAAAAACACCTTTCCTAAATAAATGTAGGGTAAAGTTTGTTTTGGTGCAATTTGTTCTTAAGTAGGTGAAATATGAAATCATTTTAATGTGCGATTTCCCCATTAAAATGCACTTTTACAATGCTGTCCAGTGCCATTTAAAAAAGGGTAATCACATTCTGATGATTATCAGTAAAATACTGTGAATAATTATTAAGACCAGGATAATTGCCATTAGATATTAGGTGGAAAATGTAATAGCCAATGAAAGACTATTTCTAGTGGCGTCCTCATTAAAATGCAGATTGAGTGTATTTAGAGATAACACATTTAGTGCTTTTTCAGTCATGTGATTCCATTTGTATCAACCATTTTTGTGTTATGCTAAAATGTGCTTGTATATGGTGGATGATGTTACCTTGTTGAGGGCTCCGGCTCCAGTCAGGATAATGTGAGAGTTGTCCACTTGAATGGTTCTCTGTCCGAGCCTCACCAGATAGGCCCCGATCCCGATGGCTCTGCATGTGACCTGCGGGTCAACACAATCACGTTAAGGCTTGCAAGCTAATCAGCTCTTTGTACACAGGTAGTCTTTGTTACTCCAAAGATCACACAAGGGGAGAGCTCAATGCTAAGGAGGAGGCGATGTGTCTGCATGGGTTTGTTGTACACAAGTGCGTCCACTCCACTCTTACCAGGTTCATGGTGATGATCTCATCGTAAGCCAGAGAGGATTCTCCGGCAATCATTCCAGACCCTTTCAGATTCTCCACACCGAGCCCTTCATCTTTTCCAATGATGTCAGTGATCTTGTACCTGCATGGGAACACATATATTCAGCCAAAGCCAGACGTGACCCTCCCATAGCTTTCCCCTTCATCGTCACCTCTGTTGTAATCTCATTGGCTTTGTAAGCATGGAGTCATGCATTCTTGACTGATAATACAACATCCCACGGATTAATTTCCTCAAAGTGTAAATGTGTAATACAATAAGATGTACCTGGATTCTCCCTCATCCTCCACATGTTCGCAATGCACAGAGTTCAGGGCTGATACTTTCTTGTAATCCTGAGGTGTTAGGTAGAGGTACTTGAAACCCTGCAGGGGAAAGACATCATTTGTTATGTTTTAATCACAAGAAGAGAAAACAAAAATAATATTTTTTGATGAAAAGAATGAAAAAAAAGGTGGTCAAAAGTATTAGATAATCAGATTAACACACTAATACGTACAGTATATACAAATAAATAATAGGTGGAGGTACTTGAAACCCTGCAGGAGAAATAGGTCTAATGTTTCAATTCTATTTTTTTAAAGAAAAAAACGAAGGATTATATAATCCGATAGAATGACAATAAAATACATTTATACTACAGTATATTTAAAATATATAAAGAAAGAAAATAGGAAAAAACTAAATCACAAAAGTATATTTTTGCAACAAACAAATAGGTATAAAAAAGGGTTAGATTCTAAAATACCATAATAAAGAAATACAATCAAACGTACAGAACATTAAAAAAGAAAACCGCAGGCAGCGGACTGAAGTAATGAAATCCATGATGGGAAAATTAACTTCACTAGTAAAAATTAAGAGAATTCATGTTTTTATGATAATTGTGTTATATTGAGTTGGTGTATTTTTAGAATCATGTAAGAGAAGCACACAAATAAAACTCTTTGTGACTCTTTGCAGGCTGACCTTATAAGGGTCAGCTGGGTCCTGCCAGGCCACGTGGAACATGTGTCTGATCTCCTCTGCCAGCCCGATGCGGGCGCCACTGTTGGCTGCGATGTAGAGTCGAGGGATGCCGCTCTCTCGTGCCATCTCTGAGGCCCTCAGGAACAACACGTCCTCCTGGGGCCCGAACGAACCTATCTTGTTAGTGATGTCGTTGCTTATGACGATGATCTCGCGTCCCGCTGGATATTCTGGCGTCCGCAGGGTCATCCGCCATGCTACCATACCAATCTGTACAGAGGCATGTTTAAATAATAAGAACATATATATCATATGCCATAAATACATCACAGCAACTCCTACACATCTGTACACCATGGACCATAAATATGTCTCAGTAAATATCAGATTATGAATTATGTACTATACATTTATCAAAGTAAATACTACAAATCTATACATATAGTAATTTACCATAATTATATCCCAATTATTGCCTGATATCTATACATAAAATACCATAAATAAAACACAACCATTTCTAACTATATATAGTGTGCCATAAATATATAATGGGGGATATGAGATACCTTTACATATGTACCATACTGTATATAATGTATTCGTATTCAATTAATTGATACGTATCAGATCTCAGCATTTTATCCTTAGCATACATAGAATATCTACACAAAGTTCTAAAAAGTACTCAAGAACACAGCCAAAGAAACACAGAGTGAAAAGGAAATTGTACATTTAAAAAAAGACAAAAGATAGACAAAAAAAAATGTCATGTCAAAGCAAACCAGGTGTTCTTTTTATAAAGTAAATGTCTGTATTCATGTATCAAACTAACAAAGAACTGACCTCGTTGCCCCCCGGCAGCCGGTTCATCTGCACCAGCAGACCTTGGTCATCTAGAACCAGCTCTGTGAAGGTGAGCAGCTCAGAAGGAAGAGGGCATTTGGGTAAGTGGGCAAACGTTTGGTAAGAGTGCCACAGCTTTTTCAGAGCCTGGGGAGGAAACAGAGTAAAGTTATTTCATATGCACCTTTGGACCAGTCTGTATTATGAGCGGAACGTAAGCCCAATGGCTGAGATTATCGTTTTTAGATGCTGTCACTGTACCTGTCGGAACATTTCTGGAAAGTCGTAGACATAGGTTGTGCCCAGAGACTGCGCCTGGAAGCGTTTAGACTGCAGCAGGTCCTTGGTCACATAGGGGGTGTTGATGAGCATGCCATGCAGCGGACCCTGCTTGTCTCCATAGGCTTGGAACATGATCTGAACAAAGAGAGACAGAGAGTCACTTTATAGAGATACTGACCTTTTTCTGACACCTCTGCCAAGATATCATGAATTTGAAAATGATAATGAGCATCTGTCATACCCACTGCTACAGCAATTAACCAATACAAAGTGCATGATGTAACAATTTAGGGCTAGGTCCCCAATACCATTTTTTTGGGTCCGGAGCTTCGGTTGCAATCGACAGCGAAAGGTCGAAGCTTTGGCCGGGGGGGTGATGACTCAGCCAGACATTTCTCCGTTGCAACACGAGTCTTTTGATTTAATTAAAAACATTCATTTTTAAGGATTGGATTATTCTATAGCATTGTTCTTGGTATGAATGAAAGAAACATTTCCTAAAAAGGTTTGGTGTGTTTTTACACACATTTTGGGGTTTGGAAAAACAACTAAAATACATTATCAACAAAGGAATATTCAAATAGTGTAATATTTAGGTCCAACCCTACAATTTGCTATTTATATACTATAAAAAAAAACAGAATGAGAGATGTTAAAGGACAACAGGAAGTGGTAACAGCATAGAGATTACATCAGGCTATAACATTTATCATTGCCGTCAGACAGACACGACCAATCACCTGTGACCTTTCCTGTGATAAAAATGACATAATGTTATAAGTGCTGGTATGTTTGATGGTAGCACTTCCAATCACAGATGTCACATGTTGAATAAGGCCCACAAAAGCCTTAAAAAAGCCCAGCAGGGCCCGGCAACAACCACATTATCTTGAAACTATTCTAAACTCAAGTTCAACCTATTTATAAATCACAGGAGGAAAAGCAGGAACGTTCTCTTTTTTTCACAACAGTTTTTAGAACCAAACTCAAGAACTCACATGTTCCCTTTACTGGATTTGTTGATTGACAGATGGATGAATGGCTGGATGAAGTGTAACTCACCTGATCAGCTGTGAGGTTAGGGGTTATTACTAATAGGATTGTCCACCAGGCTAAGGGCACAACACCATACTGGATTTTTCTCACTAAATAAACGATTCAATACATCTTAAAGCCAGATTTGTTTATATTCTAAGACAAACTATATCTTTGAATTTTCAAGAGTTAATGTTGAACTTCCAGGATGGAGCTGAAGCCCTTGGCCTGGACAATAAGCGGATGAGATGGAAGATGTGCGAGTGCCCCACCTGTCGGTCTTTGGGCCCCACCTGTCCCGTTCGAGAATCAGTGACCTCCTTGTACAAGCTGATGTCCAGGTAGTAGCCCGACTCATTGGTGAGGAAGAGGCGGATTGGGATTTGCTTTCCTGTTGGAGTCAGGCGGATGTTGATCTTCAGCTCGGCCTGCAGGACGCGCAGCTTCCACAGGCGGCTGCCGTAACGCATCACCATGGAGCGCACAGACTCCTCGATCTGAGGTTGGAGAAGGCCTCTAATTAACACAAGACTTTTGAAAAAGGATTTTCCATGCCCAATCACATGAGCACACAACAGTATCGTTTAAAACAGTTACAGTGCTAGGGATGGGTATTGTTACGATTTTAAGGGTACTACTACTTTTATCAGTTATCTTTTTGTTATTTTTAAGGAGACAACTAAACGAAATGGAAAAATAATTAACATTGCTTTATTCTATGTAATATAAATGATTATTTATAGCAAATCAAATCATTATTTTATTGTGTTTTGCTACGTATTCTTTTTCTGTGTCTTTGTATGCACCACATATACCAAAGCAAATTCCATGAATGTGTAAACCTACTTGGTAATAGAACCAAATCTGATTCTGATTATAGACTAATGTAATGATGGAAATATGAAACAAATGAAATAAATAATTGTTTTGTGTAAAGGTAAAATAATCGTTACCTTTAAATCATTAAAACATGATTGTATAATTGAGTTATTACGGACATGTAAGTAAGTCTCTTAGGATTAAAGCGTAATCTTAAAGTAATGTAGCACATATTTGACATTGCGTGTGTGTGTGTGTGTGTGTTTGAGTTTCTCAAACCTTTGATGGGTCCATGATGACCGTGGGGACAAAGTTGAGGAAGATATGGTTGCAGTCAGTTCGCACAGTCGTGTTATTGAACGCCACCTCCAGCTCATCCATGGCTTCCAGCAGCAGACGCTCGGCCTCATTGTGAAGGTATTCAAAAGAGGCCTCCTAGTGAAGGAACGGAAAGAAAAGACAATGTTAATGGGGGCAGTATTGAAAAAGAAAATAGTGTCAGAGAAACAAAGGTTGTTCCTCCGTTGTCTCACCTTGGTGATCAGATCGGAGTGGCGGATGATGGCTCGCACAAAGAAACGGTAGTCCGTCACCTCTGCGCCCGCCTCCACCCGGGCGGCACCCAGGTACAGGTGCATCTTGTGGTTGGCACACGGGATGGCAGTGAGGGCAAAATTGCGCATGCGGTTGAGCTCCAACTGGAAAGCTAGCGCCGGCTCCAAATGACGATAGATCCTGTCCTCCTCAAACTATTGGAAAACAAGTAGTAGAAAACGTTTTTAATTGAAAACTTTCCTTGAGAACTTTTTTCTTTTACAAGTTAGGCTTTCCTGCTCTCATCTCCATTAACAGCATCAGTTCAAATTGGCAATTTCAGGAGCACGCGTTGATGTAAGAGTAAAAAGATGCCTGTGAGCAACACACTGTATTAAGTAAATGAAATTATGGGCAATCTCAATCTCAGAAAGCTGCTAATGGGTGTCATTTCTCTTAAATGGGAGACATAATTAAAGAGTTCATTACTTTAATGAGTTTTGGCGGTGTCATTGTAGTGAAACTATCAGGGGTAACGGAGAGGAAGAGCCATCACCGAGTGTGATAGAGTGAAATTCAGCAGCTGCCCCGGGGGGTGAAAAGTTGTTTCCTATAACCACCACATTGTTTTGAATGGTATTCCAGCCTAAGGAAAGTCAATAAATATGTTTTATTTTGTAATGTGTGGGTTTTAACTTCAATATCCTAACAATGTGATGCAAGTATATATCCCTTAATCCTTTCCACAGTCATTTCTATCCGAGCGAACACGAATTTGGTCCACTCGGAAATAAAACTCAATAAAATTGATGGTTAGGTGTGTGTGTGTGTCATGTAGAAACCCACCTTGTCTCTGGCACGGAATGTGAAAAACTTGGGGAATTCTCTCTGTAAGGAAGATAACAGGGCAGAGATAGAGAGAACAAAAATAAATCAACAATGTTTTATTATTAAAAAAGCAACGGCTACAAGCACAGCGGTGTTAGCAATTTCAAATCAGTTAGAAAGGTACCAACTAGAAAGCTAATCACAGCAGGGGGCAATAAATTAAATTGGGATTTCAATGTAATCTAAGTTTTGGAAAAAGTTTATTCAGGAGCCAATTTCTGTTAGATAACATAATTGCTACAAGCCATTGCAAAAGAGCAAAACACAGCATGAAATGGAAAGAGATTCGCTCAAAGGAGAACACTGAATACGCTCTGCATGTCATGTGTATTTATGTTACGTGTATCCGGACTGTTTACATAGTTATTTGAATTGCTTAGGGAATGCTTTAACATTTGTTTTTGTTTACTTTTCTTGCTTATTTTTCTTTTCCTTTAAAATGTTTTTAGTTTTGTCATTTGTCTCTCAGTTTTCTTACATTGTTTTGTGTGTTGTAATGTCATGTCATTACACTGTTGTGACATGTCATTTTCTGTCTGTGCCAAATAAAAATGATAATTATACATGTTTTACAAAAATTGCTACACCTATAAGTACAGAGCATTATGCAATGATGACCAGGACCTTGTTTAACATGCATTGCATCTTTACTACTGTCATTTACCTATCAGGAAATCACTGTGTATTCACTCAGACAGCAAGCTCACATAATAATGGTGTTATACATGTATTTATAGCACCACTGCCTATGCTAATGAATAAAACATTTATTTTTCCTAGAGACATTTGATCTCCTGAATAATGCTGGGTAGCCCTGTTTGACGTTATCAGATGAAGTGTCCCACTTGCCAAAACAATGCCAGACCGATTGGGGATGCTCTCATTGGCCAATACAGCCTTCAAAATATCAAGCTGCATGGATAGCACACGCACTGGAAACTATCGACACTGTGATTAGATGTCTTATATAGGAGGTGGAAGAAAAAAAAGCATTTTAGGATACGGAATACTGAAAAAGCTCTTTGTGTTACAAGGGCCACATAATGACGGTTACATGAGTTAGCATGATTAGCTCTCATCAAAGACTGTGGTGCCATCAAAAGAAAAATCAAAGACTATTGTCAAAAATGACAGCAGAGGCAAAAGGATGGGGGGATTTCTCTAAAATCTAATCCTGCTCTCAATCCCTCTCATTATCTTCCAAATGCTAGTGGGTGTGCTGCTGATAATGGGCCAAACATAGCCCTTATGTACTACAGCACAATAGATGGAGCATGTCTCAAAAACTCCCGTGATTGGGGGTTCAATTCCAACATTGCTATCCGTGCTAACAATGTGTTGTTGTCACATAGCTTACAATCGATGTTATGGGGGCAAATGAGGTCATGGATTTGGAGTTTAAATGACAAAAAAAAGTGGCTAACCCAAACATGTATTGATTCCACACAATAGTGGGACAGGTTTTCCTTCATTTACGTTGGTGTAACATAGTGAAAAGAAGCTTCCTCCTCAGAAAATCAGGGAGGTGCCGAACCCAGTGGCTTGTAATGGAAAACACTCACTGGTAGATCAAATCGGTGGAGGAATTTTATATTTGTAGTATTTTAAACAGAAATGCTGCAACCGATTGCCTGAATATTAAATGTACGCCTTCTTTTAACCGATCTTTATGGGATGAGATCAATACTTTTGGTGAAAAACAAAAAGCAACTCGTCCTCATTCCCATTTATCTTCCTTACTTACATGAAACCTTTGGTCCACCTCACAGTTGACTTGCTTCCTGAAATCCTGTCATCATAAACCCAGCAAAAGCAAGACATGCAGAAAGAGATACGGAGACAAACGGGAGAGTTAATCTAAATTGTAAAATGCAAATTATTACCACACGGTGTCATTCCATGTAATCAAAGTATTAGAAATTGCAAAACGAAACATGCAGAAAAATTCATTTGTAATTATTTGGAGACATGCTTTTTAGAACTGTTGAATTGGTGACATGCAGGGCAGCCGGGTGTTGAGACAGGAAGTTGATTTAGTTAATATTGGTTAGGCTCACCTTCTGGGCCACGAGGAAAGTCAGGCGGCGGATGCCATGTTCAAACAGCTTAGACTTCTAGGAACGAGACAAAAAAAGTCAAGATAAGATCGTCCTGAGCCGTCGGGAAAAAAACAAATCATCGAAACAAAAGCCTCGTTGTCCCCACCTTTGAATGAGTAAACTCTCGGAATACAGCTGCAAGGCCGTCATCGTCGATGTCGCTGTCCGTCTTTATAGCCACATTCAGGATGTGGATCGGCTCGTCCAGGATACTCTAGGATTAAATGTGGAATTGCTTTGTCATCCTAATCAGGTGCACGATCACACTGGTAAATGACAGGCTTGGGAAAATCCTCACCTTGTTGTCCTCTTCGCCGTACAGGACAGGGTTTCCCTCCCTCTGGGAAGGTTGGACTTGTCGGAGGAGAGTCGGAGAAGCAGCTCAACACGTCGTTTATGTTCCTGTAGAGGAGGAAAAAGACAATTAATCCCAATTGTGATATAAACGTCAACCGGTTGATGAAATACGTCAAAAAGGGGAGTATATTTTACAAAGAAAGACCATAAATGTAAAGCCTTTGCTAAAGTCTGGCTACAAAATATTTGTGTATATTTTCGTTCTATGAACCGTTGGGTCTTCTAGTACTGGCTTTTTAATTGTACCTACCTTTTTACAGTCCATCATTTTGGAACAGCCTGACATTGTTCATACGTTTAGGGGTACCATAAGACATTTTCACTTGTTATTAAATTGTATTTAGTCTTATTGAGTCCTTTGTTTATTGACTTGTGTCGGGACATAGAGTTTTATTAATCACAAAGGTATGTAACGCTCTGCCTATGGAAAAAGAGGGGGTTACTGTCGTTTTCATTTGGTTTTTGATGTGTGAAGCGAATGAAAGGTGCTGTATTTATTCCCGTGTATATTCCATGTTTAATATCTGTGTTTCTACTTGTTCCGTCATGACACATGAATTTCCCTATGGGGATAAATAAAGGTCCATCTTATCTTATCGTAAATAAAGTTGAATTGATTGATTGAAATGAACTGACCTGGTGAACTCCTGGAAGGAGCGGAAAGCGACCATGGCTCCCATGCGCTGACAGGGCGGTGTGAACGAAGTGTCGAGCAGAACGTCGCTGATGCTGCCGATGTGCACCATGCCGTAGTGGTTCAGGTTGGATGAGAAAGACATCCTAGGGTATTGACAGAGAGAAAATTGACAGAGAGAAAACACAATGTGAATCTGCCATAGCGCTAGAGTGACTCGGTGAAAATATCCCCATCCAGCTTTAAGAACCTCGCAACAGTTTTTGTTCCCTTATTTTTTGGGCAATTGCTGTGAATTATAATAAGTATTAAAGCACAAAACCATTATGCGTTAGGGGATTATTTAGTGTAAAAACTGAATGAGGTTCAGATTAGAAAAAGCAAGTCATAATGAAATGTGAACACATTGAAAGCTATACAGGATTTTTGACAGACCACGTGTTAGTCAAATTAAAACCAGGAAAACATTCCTTTCAAAGGAACGAGGAAACATTAAACCAACAGGAATTAAATATCCATGGTCCAACGTGTGGTTGGGTATTAGTCCTTTTGATTGTAAGAAGCTGTCCCAGTAGTTACACCCGTTGAAAGCACTAAAGAGGGTTGTTGTGTGTCAAACCTGTCCACAGATTCCGAATCCGCAGCATTTCTCTTCTCTGCGTTTTCATCCTCAGATATACTATCGTGTGCTTTAAGATCCTGCCGTTTACTGTCCTGTAATCTAGAGTCTGCCACTTTGGAAATGTCCTGGATCGGAGCAGACATTTTCCTGGCAGGACAGTCACAGGTTTCAGGTTCAGAAACTGCACTTTCGGCTAACATGTATATTGAATTACAGTATCTCAAAAGCACCTTACATTCCAAGTTATATTGCAAACACACACACACACACACACACACACACACACACACACACACACACACACACACACACACACACACACACACACACACACACACACACACACACACACACACACACACACACACACACACACACACACACACACACACACACACACACACACACACACACACACACACACACACACACACACACACACACACACACACACACACACACACACACACACACACACACACACACACACACACACACACACACACACACACACACACACACACACACACACACACACACACACACACACACACACACACACACACACACACACACACACACACACACACACACACACACACACACACACACACACACACACACACACAGCTGTTGTTGTAAAATTAGGAAATATTTTCATATAAATTCCAGTTGAGAAATATTTTGGGAAATATTACCCACTAGTCTCATAACCAAACAATTTGTTGACCTTATCACCAGATGAATATTTACAACAGGAATTACGGCTTTGACCATGCTGCTAGCTAGTCACAATTAGTCTATGCAATGAAAAGAATGTTTACAATACCTGTTTAGTGTGGGGATGTTCCCTCTGCAATCAAACAACATTGATTACTAAGTGGTTAGTGGCAGGCATCAGGAGAGGAAGACAGTCAAGGTGTAGCCGTGTGTGTGTGTGTGTGTGTATGTGTGTGTGTGTGTGTGTATGTGTGCCCTTTACAGTGATGAATTTAAATTTTGGCGCAATCGATATCTAAATGAATGCAATTATAAAGAATGGAGGATCAAGTAAATTGAAAATGGCTTTCTAGCTCGTAAACACACATTTCACTCCCGGACTGCTCCCTTTTTACGACATGCATTATATATCCTGAACAGAGAAATCATTTCACACTCTCATGCCATCTTTAGGTCACAGTGATGAGCCAAAGATGAGAGTTAATTCACACACACATATTTTGATTGCATGCTTGTGATTGTATATGTCATGGTGTTAAAAATGATTTCTAACTGCATTAACAAGCCAAACTCAACACACAGAAAAAAGCAGTACAACTGCGAAGGGATGACAGGAAATACACCTGAACATACACATACATTCAAACACAAGGACACAGGTGGGATGCAGAAGTGCAACAGAAACGCTGCAGTATTTTGTCTGTACTTCACCTATTTTACATGTACAAGGCAAATCCAGAGTTTCTCTCAAATGTTCAGGTTTCTACATGGAATAAGAGCGCCCAGAGTGTTTTTCCCCAGAACATACAAGGAAACAAGGAAGGGGAACTGACATGGTTTGACGAACCAAAAAAAAAGTGTTTCAGTCTTGCATAATACCCTCTTTTGCACATGAGGATTAACACGAAGGACAACGATGAACACATAGCTGGGAAAGTGAAAAAGGAAATATGGCACCATGGACTCTTTTTATCACCAGCGCCTTAGATATTTATTTTTATAATAATAATAATTATAGGCAAGTGTTTTGTGTAAGTATCACACTTCCACCTATGCTAAAAAAAAATCTCTATGAATTTGAAAAACACAGAGAGCTGTGACGCAAAATGAAATACCTTCTATATATATATATAGGAGGGAGGGGAACTGAGTGATACTGAAGAATGCAATGAGTAGGAACAATAACATGTGCTGCTGATAGGATATATACTTGACCAATACTTTTTACCCAGGGTTCCTACAGTTTAAGAGAGGTTAGATGAAATCCAAGACCAATGTATGTGTTTCTGCCATCCAGATTAGCATGATGTGATTATAAAAAACATGTTTACAATTATATTGAGATTTTATAATGCATTAAAAGGTAGGTTAGGTAAGAATGGAGAAACCAGCTTGAGTGCGCTAGAAAGTAGGCCCTTCCTTCAGACCTCCTTACAGAGCCCCTCCTCCAACACACACGAACGCACACATGACCAATGAGGGCACGAGATAAGTTTGTGCACAGATGGAAGGCTGACAGGAAGGTAGGCCATCCAATTATCTGCCCCAGATAGTGCTTTTTACAGCGCCACGGCTTCCACAGATGAAATATTTGTATATATTTATTGTCAAAGCATTTAATGTATTCATTGCTATCGGGATGTTAAGAGCATTCCATGGAATATAACAAATTGTCAAAAATTGTCTTCAATTTTTAGGAGTTTTAAAACATTGATTTATGGCGTTTTAATAGCATTTTTTGATTATTTATTTTAATGGCTTTTAAATATATGTTTAGGCATGCGTAAGAAACCTGTTTATTAGTATTTAATATTTGTGCAGTCATCATGCTACTAGTTTTTTAAATGTTCATTTATAATACATTTTTGTTCCTTTTATTATTATTACTATTATGCATGGTCATTACAGTACTTATTTTTTATTATTTATTTATTTTTATAATTATTACATTTCATTACGCTACTCTTTATTTTAATAAGCTTTTGTATTAATATAATCATTAGTACTGATACATATGCGCGAATACAACGCAACTCAGCTATTTAATCTTGTAACACTTATTTTTTTTAATGACAGTAAGGAAATGTTATTCTACATGCTGGGGCTGTCAAATTACCACTAATTTAAAATTCTAATTCAATCCCTGTTGTTAATTTGGATCCCTGTCCATAGTGCCGTTTGATAGGAGAGCAAAGGGGAGAGGTGATGCACTTTGGGCTTGCGGGCAGTTTGTGAGCGTAGTACCTGTTGGGGTGCGAGGTGGGGAGCATGAACTGGAACTCCACTATACATGTGTTGTCTCTCAGCTGTCGATGCTGAACGCTGTTGAGCTCATAGGCGATGTATGCTCTGCGAACGTACACCTGGTATTAGAGATAAAGACAGAGGATATATTAGTTTGACATGTGCTGTATTTGTATAGTTGATCAAATAAAGTCAAAGTTGAATTAAAGATCCTCTTACCTCCAGCGCAGCCATCCTGACTACCTGATTACTGTGGTAGAAGAAGTTGGGCAGAACATCAAATATGGATGTTTCTGAAAGGATCAATTTCTAGAAAGAAAGAAAAAAAACATATTTAATAACACTTTCACTTTTCAAAGCATTACACGTAGCAAATCATTAATGACCTACCTGGAGGTTCTCGATGCAGAATTGGTGTCCATACATATCGATGGCAGAGAGGAAGATGGACTCCACCTGGTTGTGACGTAGCTCGTAAGAAGGGAGGTGGGAAGCTATCAACACCTGGGCAAAGGAGATCATTATGGTCAACTCATTTATTATCAAATGATTCGTTAAAGCTGACTTTTCTCTTCTACTTGCCTTTGAACAAGCTTAAATGGTTTATAACTGTTCTGTAATTCATATGTTTCTATTGTTTCTTTCTTCACCAATAAAACTAAACAAAAAAAGAGTAGATAGTGACATCTTGTGGCGGGCCCTTGTACTTTAGTACTTGTCTTTTCATAACATAATCTCGGCTGAATGTCACAGTTCCCATGAGTTGATTGCAGGTTATTCAGATCACCTGTTGGCTCTTAATTAGGAAATTGAGAGCAGCTTGGTGCAATTACCCTCTCGGCCAATCAGAGTGCAAGACGACGTTGATTTAGGGCCTAAGGAAGGTGGAGAACTGAACACCAAGGACATTATGATCGTTCCTTTACTTAGTGTACATTCATATCAGTAAGTATGTCAGACAGATTATCTGCTCGTCAGGCCTTTTTGAGACTCTGCTGTCTTAACTGATCCGTAATGGGGTGTCATTTTCAACTACACCCAATGTCCTTATTATCAGGAAGACATTTGATTGTTTTTAAAGAGGCACTGAGTTGTGATTAAGAAGGCTTTCTTTATAAGTATTGAGAAAAAGCAGAAGACATGCTTTATTAATACCTGCAGTAGGGGGGTTTTGGTGTCTTGCTCAGGAACAGTTTTGAACTGCCACTTCCCCCATTTTTCGTTGTGATGGTACTTGTAAAAATGTGTGTTTCCAGCTAAATACATATTTTTTGATGTGGTACCGAAATCGGTACTGACACAATGTGGTAAAAATCTTACAGAGATCATAGTAAACTGCTAAAATGTGATTTAATAGGAATGAGACGTGTTAATCTTATGGTAGTCCACTTTGAAATGACAGACCTACATAAGATAAATCCATAATTCATAAAAGATGAAGCTAAAACAACCTCTGACAGAATTCACATCTCACCTGTCGAGCCCGCAGCGCCACCTTGGCGTTGGTCGTCTTGCTGAGCTGGGTGAGTTCAGTCAGGATGGCCATCAGCTCATCTGTCAGAGTGGGATCACGGCCGCACAGCTGATCCTAAACACAGGAGTGGACAACATCACATTACAAGCTAGACTTATTAATGCTCTTTCTTCTGACTCAGCGAGGAAGCACACTTACGATGAGCATAGTAACCAGCAGGTTCTTCTTGGTGACCTGAGCGTGGGAGAAGATGTAGTTGAGCACGTTGATCATGTCACTTTTGTTTTCCTCGCGCAGTGCGAACACACATTTGTCATAGTGTCCTGTTAAGAAGCAGACATAGAAGAGCTTTGGTTAATGCTGCACTGGGAACTCAAAGAATGACATATTCCGAGTTGCTTTATTTGTTAAAGAGCTCCACCAAGTGGAAGAATGTGGAAGTGCAATGTTTGAAAGGTGATCTGCACAGTGGTACATTTGTAGGCCTAACAAGTTAATGCATTAAGTAAAGAATCCTAGGCTATCTTAAGCTAGAAGCAGCCTTGTAACTGCATATGAAAAGAACAACTTTGTGTCTCTCCAGACTGAAGTGTAGACTGTGAAGAGGACCACAGATGGAAATTAGCTATTGGCTATAATCTGGCATATTGCATCTCTTCTCTTTGCTGAGATTAATGTTTTTGTATGCATGGTCCTTCTATAAATACATTTTTTTTTTTTTTTTAAAGTATCAAACTAGACCTTTTTTTTATTTTTACAGGAAATCTAATAATACTGCCGATTGAATATGTACTCTTCTGTTTATGCCACATGTCTGTGAATTGGTCGAGTAATATGCTAAAGCATTCTTGTGTAAGGAGATGGTATTAGTATGGATGCATGTTAAATGTGTTGCCGTTGTCCCTTACCATTCTGAAACTGGATCTCCACTTTCAGGTACTGTCTGAGCAGGTCCATCACCACCGCCTTCATGTGACCTCTGATGCCACTGCGATACCTGTTGGAGACAAACACCGTGTGCTATGACAAACAGAAGAATGCAGTGTTGTACTTAATGGGACAATGAGATGAAGTGACTTTAAAAAAAAATATATATACATGTGTGGTACTCACTTCTGCACCAGCTGGACGATGCTCTGTGTGTTCATAAAGAAGACTTCTCTCTCTGACTTCTTGTTAAGGGTAGCAGCGTGGCTGTCCAGGATGTTTGCGATCTGGAAAGATAAACAACATCAGAATTGAATTACAACATCAGTGAAGACGGAAAGAATGTTTGTTCCATTGGCACTGTTGAACTGGTTCTCTTTATATCCAGACTGGCAGTGAAATATGTGATCTATTTAGAGGCCCTTCATTACAACACTGCTTTTCTTTCGATTTATAAATACATATATATGGAAGTGTATGTATTATTTTAGCACATTTAATGCTATGGGTGGTTTCAATTATTCAGCAAATTATTGGAAGCGAAGCATCTTTTCTTATAACGGTTAATTAGTTGGTTTACTTCAGTTAATTATTAGGAATACATATTAAAAACTCCCAGAGAACCTAGATGCTTCTGTATGTGTAATACCAATCATTCCTTATGCACACAGAGTACTTGCATCCTGCTGACCATCTTACTTGCACAGATGTCTACTCATTCAGGTTTCTTAAAATTGGTAAGAACAAGAACATTTAGGCAAAATGAAGGGGAGGTGAAGAAAGTATTTTAATAGCCGACTGGAAAATTAGACGTTACAATTAAGAAATACTATAACCGAACCAAAAAAACCGTTTAGAAGCAATAAATCACTCCTCTTCAATTCTACCCATTTTTAAGTAAATTCTTTAACCGCAATTTTGTCTTCGAAGTTTATCATGGAATTCAAATATTTAGCATTATTCCCAAACAACCTGTGATTCTCTGCAGGACACACTGGCACAGCATTCAGTTTACCACGACAATGAGATTCATCATCACAAGAACACATGGATAACACATTCAAGTACATGTCATAAATCTGACGTGAACGTTTCCAGATATAAGTGAATGATTTTATTATTCATTATTTTGAATAGCTCTGAAACAAGACTAATAAGGGGTTTTGCGGTTATCTACAAGAATTATTCTGTAGGGGTAGTTAGCATGGTGTGTGTGTGTTGCTGCACCTGCTGGCTGGGAAACTGGCAGAGCACGGAGGTGATGTTGCTAGCATACTGAGCCATCTCCTTCTTGATGGACTTCTCCACAGCAGGGGGGATGCGACCTGACACACTGGTCATGATGTCCTGGAGCTCCAGCAGCGGCAGAGAGGGATCGCGCATCGTTTTCATCAACCTTTCCACCCACTCTTTCAACTAGGACACACACAAGAGGAATATATTAAAGAACCCGCTTACAGTGAGAAGTGCTGATGCTGCTGTTATTCCAGGTGTGTGAGATCACCTTAATGCTGAAGAAAGGCTCAGGAAGACAGTAGCCGTTCATTATGTGAGCGAGATGATCCAGTGTAGTGTGGAAGACTCTGTGGAGTTTCTCCCCTCGCAGAGCCACTGCCTGGATAGCGGGCAGGGGCCCCGTGTTCAGCTCTGCCTGCAACACAAATACTTATTTTTACAACAATGTTATCCATATACTGATCGTCACACTTCTGGTTCATTTACCGGGAATGGGCTCCTATGCCATTAATAAATCTGCATTTTGACATCACATTGTTTTAGATGTTTTGTTCCTTTCAGACATTAAAGTCTTTGTATTTGTTGGCAGCTCAACTTCCTGCCGCACGGAAATGTTGATTTTATGAAGTTACTCCTACACAAAGATGCACACAGAAATAACAGGCTAAGATTAAGTAGAGAGCATGTCTTGTGTATGATCACACCTCTGTCACTCTGAAGCTTGTAACAGAGGGAGCTGAAAGCTCAAAGGTAAAGCCCAACTCGGAAAGGAACAAAACAAAGGAATACTGCATGTCATTTTTTAGCAGACATATGAATATAACGTATATCTGTGTAGATTGCAAGTCAGACAATCAGTACCTGTTGCACTCTGCTCGGGTCATCCAGCTGCAGCTTGGCAATGACACAGCCAGGATCCAGGGCTGCTCCAGCCCTCTTCACATAGTGAATACAGCCAGACTCTGCAGCTGTTAGAGTCATCACCATCTTCATCACCTGGAATTCAGCATAAAGTTGTGTAGATTTAATTAAATCCTATTTTGTTGTGTGGAGAACATGCACATAACTACAGAAGCCCGGAGCCCTGATTTCAAAACAGGTGGAGAACATTTTTGTTGGGTTGTTATAAATCTCAAAATAAACAGAAATAAAAACGTGTGTTTTTGCTGTAACTAATTTCAGCACTAGAGGCTGAAGTGCAGAATCCCCCCATGTTCTAAATAAGACTAAAGCATCCATGTTTTCTATGAGGGTGAGTACATGCACTGTAAACACAAGGTTCATCTGATGAGGTTCAAACCAATTACAATACTTTTTAAGTCTTGTACAAAGTATATTGTCTTGCAAAAATGTTTCCAACGTTTCATGAACATAGTAGAGAAAAGTGTTAGAAGTAGAATAGGGATCACCCTTTATTTCTCAGTTGCGTTTTTGGGCTTCCGTACATAATCCTTAACATACTGTACCTCAATTTCAGCGTAGCACTGTCCAGAAAACACGTGCCCGCCGTCCTCCACTGTGTACTGGATGAGTTTTCCTGCTGAAGGAGATCGCAGCAGGGAGGGATCATTCTCCCTTTGGAAAACACAAGTCTTGTTCCCAATTGTGATGCGATACCTGTAGGGGAAGAATCCATACTTAGAACCAAAATCAGAAGACTTAAGTGTAAATAATTTCATGTGAAGTTTTTAACTGAATCAAAATGTTTTCAAGCCATAAATACATATGTATCATTTTACTTCTAACATTTTGTTTTCCTTTTACCTATCCACCTCTTCCTTCATGTAGGTGGTGTAGCTGCTTCCATCATAAGACAGCAAAAGGCCTCCGTCACTGAGCCGATGGACGTCCACCTCCGCAGAGGTGTGGTTCATGATGACCACGTAGGAGTTGGGAGACTGCCGCGTCACTGTTAGAGTGTATTTAGTGCCTTCGTAGATCAGCTCCACGTCCACAGTGTTGAGCAGTGTGTGTGCTGGCAGCACCTGGCCCCTGGTCACAGAGGAGAAAGCATCTCATGTTATCTGTTCTTTTTAACAACTGCTTGAAATGGATTCATTTCACATGCCGTGGGTTTTACCTTTCCAGAGAATGCAGAAAGTTGGACACACTGTTTCTTAGATTGACATCTGCCACATGAAGAGCCCCGCTCACAATTCCCAGCATGGTATCTGGACGCTCCGCCTGCACACATTACAATATACTTCTTAGCCAGACCTTAAAACGTACAGTCAGGATGAAGCTAAAAGTCCTTTAAACTCTTTTTTGATCACATCAATAATTCACTATTGAATCACAATTCAAGAAATGGAGTACTCATTTCAGCACTTCCGTTTAGCTCATTTTGAAGTGAATGGGTTTTGTTTATGTGTTTTTGGTTAGATGCCTGAAATAAGGTATTTGCTTAACATAAGTTTAAGATATTTTCATGTTTTTCTCAACATAAAACACATCAGCAAATACTCCAAACGTCTGAAGCGTCTATGTGTCATTAAAACCTACAGAATCATAATCAGTTGCCACCAAGCTTAATAATTGCAATATTCCAAATCCAAGAGTATCTTTTAAAAGAGCCCTTGAGATGCTAACTTCCAACTTCCGGGTCGGACTATGAACATATGCGATTGCTTCATCATAGTATTGTGCATCAATATAAAACAGTTCAAAAATATGAAAGTAATGTTGTATATTATTTGAAATCCAATCCTTGTTTTCCCCGTAAAACTAAATATGTTTGCTTACGTAAACTCCTCCCTAACAATTTTGACCAATAATTACATGACATACAAGGGAGGTGTGTGTGTGGAGCAAGTCGTCTGTAACTCAACAATGCCAGCCTCTCCATTTGTTAGCACTTCAATGCAAAGGATTGAAATCGCTTCTGTACCTGTACACTGATCAAATATTCTGTTTTACTGGGACTTTACATTTAAACTGCCGACTGGCCGACGGGGTCTGACTATTGTTCAAACTAAATGTATTGTGGTTTCAGCACTAAAATAATTATATGGGTCTGTGTGCCAAATATATTTTCTCGTTACGGTTTGAAATGTGGTTTAGTTTCCCTCCCATTATAGTTTTCCACTTCGGCAACATGTCTGCCTACCTGCATCTTCTCTGAGATGAGCCTGTCCAGCCAGCCTGTGTCGATGGTGTTGTGCTGAAAGCTTTCAGTCTCCAGCAGCTTAATGAGGTATTCCACTGTCGTCCTGAAGTCTCCTCTGATAGACAACTCCTTCAGAGCCACCACCATGTTCCTAGAGAAAGAGAAAGACAAAATGACATAAGCCAATGATAAAAACCTTGTTTACAGAATTGCAAAAGAGATACCTCACATTGTAAATGTGATGTAATGATCTAATGATCCTGGGTGTACTCACGAGATGGCTTCTTCCCGATTCTCTCCCCACGAGAAACAATGTCCAAACTGGGAGTCGGCAAACTCATGCAGCCCCCCGGCCGCTGCAACGCTGAAGTAGCCCCACACGTTCTTATTGCTGCGGAAATTCAGCTCTTGGACTGTTCCGGAGCTCGGTTTGAAACCCTGCAAATCACACGTCACGTGTCATCTGATCATTCAATTGCACAGGATCAGTAGCTTGGTATCCTAAGAGCCTTTTAAAAGGATATTGTTATCACAATTCATTTCCCGACGTGTATTTGTTCTGTTCTTTTTTTCCCAAGTATTTATTCTCATTCATTTCACAATTTTTACCAGTTTGTTTTCTACTGATTGGTCAGCTTAGTCTATGTCAGTGGTTCTCAAACTCTTTCTGTCATTCCCCACTTTGAACAGGTGGGCCTTTTCAAGCCCCACCTGTTCCTCATCGCTCCAATAAAATGGTAGGCCAAGCGTAAAATGGTCAAATGTATCGTTCTATAACAGGGGTCTCCAACCTCTTTTAGGATGAGGGCTACTTTCAAAAAATAAAACAAGTCGTGAGCTACTTTTACTCCTCTTTTTCTGTTTTTTTGCAGTGTATATATTTAGCACATTTTAACATTATTATATGCTTACCTTTAACCTTTGTTTAACCTTTGTGTGCTGTTTGGGTCTGTGGGACCCGTTTTCAGTGAAAAGAAAATGTATGATTTTTTTTTAAATGTTGAAGTTAAATGCATCAATCTGGTGCACTTTGAGCACAAAATGAATTTATGGATACATCTCTCAACACTCTATGAAAGGGAGCTGTATACTTTTCAATAATCCAAACATCTTTAGAATATGATCACAACCAATAACAAATCATTTAAACTTGTTTATTCTTATCTTATGTTACCTAGTTAGCATTCTTTCTTTTGATTTATGCATTACTAATCACTCCCCTTTTAAACTGTTTACTGTCCTATAGTACACATTGGAATGATTTCTTACTTTATTTTGTACAACTACTGTAGGCTATATTAAATAGATAAAGGTGTGTTTTCTTTCTCTCTCTCTCTCTCTCTCTGTGTCTCTCTCTCTGTCTCGCTCGCTCACAGAGGCTGTGTGCTCCTCCGTGGCGATGATGGCTTGCGTTAAAAGATAATAATAATAAACATAGGCCTATTTGTAAAGTGGGGGGACACAAACGGGATTTCGAAAAGTGTCACGGTTAAACTCCTTATGAAGTGGTGAGGTGCCGCTCCACATTGCTTTTCTTCCTGACTGCAACGCTGTTGTGTGTGTATGTGAGAGCGTTTCACATGTGTGTATGAGAGATTTTTACATATGTCTGCAAATGACTTTGGTTTCAGTTGTGTGTGTGTGAGCAGGCTCAGATTGGCCATCAGGAGATTCAGGACTTTTCCCGTTGGGCCGCTGCCGTTGGTGGGCCGCTGGCTCTGGCATAGGTGGGCCGTGGACTTTCACAGCACCGCTGCGCCGGTACCGCATTCTCCGCCGGTACCGCATTCTCCGCCGCAAACACCCGCCGTTGCGAGGCTCTGGCGGCTCCGGCAGGTCCGGTGCAGCGGTGCTGTGAAAGTCCACCGCCGTTGCGAGTCTCCGGCTGTAATAATCCACTACCGCCCGCGAGGACCCAGGTCAATTAAAAAAAAAAATCTCCCGTTCATCGCGTCCATTCGCGACCCACCTATCACATCTCTGCGCCCCACCAGTGGGGCGCGCCCCACACTTTGAGAAACGCTGGTCTATGTGCTTCTTGTTGTGATTGCTTTTGGTGTGATTATATTAAGTTAGCCTAGTTTTCTTTTTTTTCCCTTTATTTAGGTATTTTATGTGTATTTTCTCCCTAAGTTGTAAAAGTATGTGACTTCTTGACATTTCTTATGTTTTCACTATGTAGACCTTATGCAGCCTTATGTACAACAAATAAAAACATATTAAAAGTCAAAAAGGATCATAAACTGAACTTAAAAACAGCAAATTTGACACTAAGAGAACCGGTGTGCAATTATTCTGTCTACTCGTGGAAAAGAGAGGCTTACCTCATCGGGGTTTTCACTGGTGATTCTTGCTGCAATGACATGGCCCCGTGGGGAGGGGGCAGTGGACAGACCCTCAAAGTCAATGGGAGAGTCCCCCCAGGGCTGCACCCCATAAAGCATCCTGATGTCTTTGATCCTTTGCAGAGGAATACCCATAGCGATCTGACAGGAAATAGTGGTATATTAGTACAACACAAGAATACGCACTGAAACGGACATAAATCCAACTTTATTACATTTACTAAAAATCGCAATTGTATTCGCCCACTTATCAGCTATAACAAATGTAGATCGTTTAATATTATTGGCAATTGATTGATACATTTATTTCGAACAATTAAAATAAATAATTACAAAACAAAATAAATGTTGCAGTGCATAGTCATGTAAGAGAAATCAAAACAAAACAGCATTAGCAACATAAACAATCTAGTGTTCGATGTGCAATCAGTTAAGGTCAGGATAGATTTATAAGATAGTTTTTTAATCACTTATTAAAAAGGTACCGCATGGCCTTACTTACATTTCACAGTTAGAAAAACCCTTACCCTGCTTGGCATCCAAACCTGTTGGCCTAACTGTGTTCCAAATGTGTTACCAAAGGCTCAGAGAACCCTGTGTTACCCTGAACAAACAGGTAAGGTAGCTTTTGCTTTGAAAGAACCACATATGGCTTTTTTCTGCATGCTTTCTGACATTTGTCAACAACATCCATAACATACTCTTTTCCTGATGGACTGTTGTCTAGACAAAAAGCCCGTCATCCTTTGTGCCAGAGATTGTGTGAGCTACTAAACCTTTACACCACTGATTGTGCACTTGCGTCATCAAACCAAAATCTATTGGCTACCCGAGGGGACTGCTCTTTGGCTGCCAAAAAATGTGGAACAATCTCCCCACTATCAATTAATCGGCTTTTGATCGTTTGAAAAAACATCTATAAACTTATTTTAGTCAGCTTTTCCATCTGAAAAGGTTGTTGATGTAACCCACTGTGTAAGTTTAACTACGAAATATGAAGGAGAAGGCTCTAAGGCACTAACAAACAGGTACACAATGCATTAAAGCACAATTATGATTGAATTTCTTCAACAACAAAAAACACTGACAGTTTTTCTAGACTATCAAAAATACCATCTTCCTGAAAGATAGTGAGTCCTGTAATTGCCTTGATAAAAAGAACCTCATCCTTTGTGCCAGAGAGTGGGTCACTCCCATAGTAACATCCAATCAGATTCCTCATCAACACTGCCCTTCAGCCTGACTGCCACTGACCTATTTACACACAATCCTGAACACTGCAGAACAGACCACGTGACCGAGTGCCTCTACAACCACTGGATCTACCACGCCGCTTCTTCCTTAGCGTTGTGTCGCCATAGAGATAGGGGGGCCCCTTGTAGTGCAAAGCGGTGAAGCGTGCTAACTTTGTCTGCTCCAGGACTGACTGTATGCAATGTAAAGTGTGTACACTGCAAAATCAGCCCTACTAGATAGAAGCAAAATATTCTTTAATGGAGTCAGATTTTCAAGCAAGCAAAATAATCTGGCAAGAAATGTACACTGTTAGGTATTAATGCAAAACGTTTTAGCTTGTTACAGGATTGCTTGTCTATTAGACCAGAAATATGACTTATTTCCCAGAAACAAGGTTTTTTTTTTCTTGAATTTCTTTTTTTTGCACTGTGACTCTGGGTGGCACTGACCTGCAGTTGGGCAGCTAGCAGGTTGACGTCAGCCACCATCTCAGTACAGGGATGCTCCACCTGCAGACGAGGGTTGAGCTCCAGGAAGTAGAAGCTTCCATCCTGGCTGTAGAGGTACTCCACTGTACCTGCACTGACGTAGCCCACCATCTTAGCCAGCTTCACCGCACACTGAGGAGAGAAAACCACTCAATCGAAGGTTCAAATTATCCATCTTAGATTGAAATTAAATAAAACATAAAATAAAATAAATAAAATAGAATACAAATATTATATAAAACACAAGAATTAAAAGATGAAATAAATATATGTATTTAAATAGACCTTGGAAGTTATAGTAAGTGCAATACAAATATTAAATTAAATAGATATTTCTTTGAACATAATAAGTTAAAGTAAAGTAAGCCCAATAAGAGATAAAATAAAATAGAACTAAAATATGATAAACATAAGAAGTTAAAGTAAAAAAGTAAAAAAGATGCTAGTTACCCTTTCCATATCCTCAAACACATCTGAAGGGGCGATGGTAGCTGGAGCCTCCTCTATAATTTTCTGGTGCCGTCGCTGCACAGAACAGTCCCTACCGAACAGGGAAATGGCATTGCCGTATTGATCCGCCAAGATCTGGACCTCGAGGTGGCGGGCATGCTTGGCTAGCTGCATGACGAAAATAGGCGATCCTGGAACTTCTGCCTGGACCTGGAAAACAGAAGACAAAATCCTTATTCTGAATCTCTTTTGTCCCCCGATGTTCCCGTTTAAATCTCTAATAGTCAAACATTCAAACTCTATTCATAATGCATTACATTCTGCATGATGTTTCTAACTAAATGCTTTTAATCTCATTATCTACGTACCTGTCTGAAGAGGTTAGGGAAATCATCAGCACAGTTGACTTTACGGATGCCTTTCCCCCCGCCTCCCTCTGAGGCCTTCACCATCACGGGGTAGCCAACCTTCTCTGAGGCCTGGCAACAGAAACATACATCTTTTCATTGTATACTCAAGCCCATGCAACATTTATTTGGCACTATGAATGACACTATATTGTGTTGATGTCAAATGCTTTTTTTGTATTTGAGCAGTATATAAAAAGAAAAGCAGGAATGTGGAAGAGAGTACACAGTAATATTGTTCATATACTGTATGCGATATGGCTACCGTCAGTTAAATAACACGCTTACCTTCAGGCCATCCTCCACATCCAGGATGCAGCCGAGCTCGTACACGTCAGTAGGAACATTGATAACTTTCTTCTTTTGATCGCTCTCCGTCCACTCTACCGTCAGACCTGAGAAAGACAAACAGATTATTCAGCATCATTCAAACGAACGCCTTTTAAATTCAGTTTAAATCTATGGCAGTTGAAGAATCATCGATTGTTTTTGATACATTTCTCAAAGCTGGTCATAAGAGGCCTTTATAAATGACTTGTTTTAGACTAACTGTGAGCTACCTTCGCCACTCCAGGGCAGGGTGGGAATGCCAGCAGTTTGAGCCACGATGGACGAGGCGATCTTGTCTCCTAGAGCCCACATAGCCTGACTGGGAGGACCTGAGGAAGGAGTAAGCGATAAAAAGAGGCATTTCCATTGTGTAAACTCATATTATAAGCGTCATTTGGAAAAGTAAACGCAACAGCTTCCCTTACCCATGAAAGCAATGCCATTCTTATGAAGCAGCTCTGGCAGTTTGGGGTTCTCCGAGGCATGACCCCATCCAGCCCACACTGCCTGTAGGGACCAATTCAAACATGTATATTCATCAATGATACAAATTGTAATTACTGTTGGAAAACTACAGATATATTGATTGTGTGGTGGTACCTGAACAGGTATGCGTTTAGCTATGTCCAGGATGAGCTCCACATTGGCATAGTTGTTGTTATTTGTCCCTCCTGGCACAGGCACGTAATGATCGGCCATCTTGATGTACTCTGTGAAAGACAGTGACAGAAAGCCTTATTTTTCTCGTAATCATCTTGCAGCAGTCACATTTACTGAGGGGTATGAATCTTTCCAAAACCCCAAAAAGTATAATAGGGCCACTTTAATTCAGAATACATTGGAATGCATGCTTATATTATATATTAGAAAAGTTGATTGCAATAATGTAAACATAAAAATAAGACAAAAGGTATTACTTATTTATGCTAAAAAACATTTACTAAAATGTTTTTAGTATTTCTTAATTGTCAGTGATAAAGAATAAAAAGGTATAAAACCTTATTTCTCAGAAACTTACTGATTTTCCAGAACAAATCGTACACAAATGAACATGCAGAGGCTGGTTTTTACTAGAAATATCTAGTTTAAAAATATATATAAATATTATGAAGTAGTTTTGAATACATTCACTATCTTAGTCGAGTAATTTATTTCCTGATTTCCCCCCCCACACCCCTACTCTTCACTGTCTTGTAATTCTCCTGTCTGGATGCACTGCCAGAGCCAAGAGCTGAAAGGCAAAGGCTGTGACTGCTGGTGCACTTCCTCAGATGTTTTAGAAAACCAAATCTCACCTGCGTTGGCCTTCAGGTCCTCCGGGGTCACCATAACAACAAAGCGGATCGCCCTTTCATTGCGAAACATCTCATAGGACCAGCGGCGGATGGAGCGCATGCATTTCACCGCTGCAATGCCATTGTTGGCGATAAGCACCTGGAGGAGCAAAAGAGATGCTAATAACGTAGTTGTACTGTAAGCTAGTTCATTTAAAAGACTTCATTAATAGTTGCTATCCATCTATTCTGCCTTGTCACACTGCCTTTATATATTCACTCATTAAATGACATAAAACACACAATTTGTTTTCTTCACTGGTTTCTATTCACCATCAAAGGAGTTGAACATAGTGGGCTAAACAAAAGAAAAAAGGAAGGAAATCATTACCTTCTCGATAACCTTGTTGCCACCAAAGCGGGTGACAAATTCAGCAGGAGAAGCCACGGTGAAGTCTCTCTGGAGATCAATGCGCCGGCGGTCTCTGCCCTGCTTCACCAGGTGCAGCCCTGACATGCTTGGCCTGTTTTAAGAAACACAAAGAACACATGAAGGAAGGAGCATTCATTAGGTAGCTGTGCTGATAACTCGAAAGCTGTTATTTTCACAATTGCAGGGTAGACAATACTCTCTGACGATCGGCAAAACAAACAGCTTTTCATGCATGCACACACAGTACGCACATTATACTTGAAAACACCACGACAGACAGCAATTTTCACTATGAAATATAATGTTTGTATTAAAGTTGCTTTTACATTTGTATATACTTGTTTATTTTTTTGTAGACTCTTTCGTGTTGATGTATGCACCATATACAACCGGAACATATATTTTATGGGTAAGCTTACTTGGCAATAAACCAGATGATTTTGATTCGAGTTAGTAGAAAAAGCATATTTGTAGAATTTGCTATTTGAAATAATTCTAATTTAATGAATTTATCAAATGTATTGGTGACTTCTTGTGTTGATAAAACATGTACAAGTAAATGATGTTGTGTTTGATTTGATGTTGTCATTTTAGCAGTGTACCAATGCAGCAGAAAGGAAATGGCACGAACAGACAATTTGTTCGGTTTTCTTCACTTTCGGTTTTTTTAAATTATTAAAGATGTTAATTAAATATATTTTGCAAAAAACAAACATTATATTTCTCTCATTTTGTTAATAACAAACAGATACGTTGTAAGCTCTCATTTCAAGAGCGGAAAACACATGTTTAGGAATGAAACTGCCGGTAGCTAACTGTTCCCGTTTATAGCCCAGGAGATAAAGAGACACTGATATCACGTCGTGTTGATAAGAGACAGACTGGGCGAAGGAAGGAGCCGAGGATGTGACTACTGTTTCTTGTGTTTAACTTTATAGCCCAGGGTGAGATACAGATAATCAGTAGAAGTGATATGGGAAAGTGTTAGAAAGGCCTTACAATCTTTCCCCTCATACAGTTCCTTCTGTGAAGATACATGTAATAATGTGAAACCTTGAAAACTATTTCTCAGAAACATTTACAAAACAATGCTCGATTCCTAGCCCACAATCTTTCAAATTAAGATATTCTCAAATGCACAAGTACATGATAGTGTGTAATGAGTGCGTTCTTCCTTTTTTTTTTAAATATGTAACAAGTTTGTGGACCAATATTCGCATTTTAATAATGCCACATTTTAAAATGATGTTGGTGGTTATGGATTAAAGTGTTCACAGATTACAAATACAATTATTCTGTTTGATAACATATTAATATATAAAGCATAGTCAAGTAGTAATCTGAATTAATGTACCCTTAATAACTAAATATATTTATTTTAAAATCCACAAACCATTTCAAAATACACAAAGAACCCAGCATGAAATGGGAATACATTGCCAATAGTAGGGCTATTTTACTAGAGCGGTCCGATTTATTAAGTTGTTGTTCAAATAAATATTTTCTTTATGTCAAATTAATTTAGAAGTTTTGTTTATCTGTTTTTTTGTCATCTGTGTGTGTTTTGGTATAAAGTAATGTCATCCAACTGTTGTGTTTGTTAAGTGTATTTGTGCCAGAGAAATAAAAGGGTGTCCAGTATAGCCACTGACAGAGCAGAACCAGACACTTTACAGTCATATTGCCTTGTGCTCACATTTCTTTGAATCAAGCTCCACCCAAAAGGGGATCCATAGGGTGGAGTGGGAAGCCCAGGGGGACGGATATGATAATCAGCTGGGAGGTGTGGCAGTGACTGGGTGTTACTTGGATGGCTGATTTTTTTTGCTGCATCGCTATAGGGGTTGCTCACAAGAGGAAAATGAGTCCCTACTGACAGAGGCCCTGACTTCCATGCAGCTGTGGAGCCGTTAGAGCTTCTGCCCTTTGTAAGTTAGAAACCAGGCACAAATAACAACACTATTCCCGTTGCTGGCAGCCTATGATAACAACATTGAGAAACCATATTTGCACGTGTATCTGACGTGAATCTCAATTCTGTGAGGCTTTAGGGAAAATTCAATTTACAAGCCTCCATCTGTGAGGTTTAGGCAGTTTAAGACCCGGGGCTGGCAGAGATACTAAAGCTTTATACACAGTTCTCCGTCAGTACTGAAAAGCCCCTTTTGACCGTTGCATTGGGACTTTCTGAGTGTGAACATTGTCCCAACTTTCCCAAACCAACATTATGAAGCCTATTCCAGAACTGTTGCCACACAGACACAAAGAAACCCCTTCAGCAGAGAACCTGGAGAAACCACATTTTTCACATATGCTGTAAGAATGTTTACCCAGAGAGTCTGAACAGAGTGTTCGTTTTGAACTTAAGGCCTGCTGCGATAGGACTCGTCTCATAGGCAGCTTTTGAATTGCAGTTGTTGTTTTTTTTATAGCTGGAAATACATGAACAAAATAACAGAAAGCAAAGCATGACAAACAAGGACAAACCATGTACAGTCTGTTAAGTAAAATCCATGAAGTTATAAATACAATCATTACAATTTGATAGACAGTAGTGTCTAATAGATTTTAGAAAATAATCCTAAAAAGAAAATGCCACCAGACTGCTTATCTTAAACCCTAAAGATACAGTTATACACACAATATCCGAGACAAATCTGCACATTTAAAAATCAGAAACATTGTAGTCTTGAGGTGATAGTGTTTTAACCTGAGATTTTGATTGGGGGCTTCAATGTGGTCGAATCCCATTTCGAAGGTGCTGCTCGAGCTATCAGAGGACGGCGACAAGGAGCGAGTCTCCTTTTCCTCCAGCTGCAAGTCCGGCCTCCCTAGGACTTCATCCTCCGAGTTCTCCTCCGACACTGACCCCACGATGAAGTGAGAGTGCAGCGCTGCAACAGCAGGGTTCTTCTTGGCAGCACCGTCCTGCTGTGCCATGGCTGGGCCCCACTGACAGGCTGCGAATACTGGCAGGAAACACCACAGTGGCAGCAACAGTTATAAAGGAGATACAGAGTCCAAATATCAGGGTATGGTGTGACACAAGATTGCCTTTGGCTGGCATGGGAATGCTGTTTGTCATTATTGCAAAAGCGGGTTATACAAAGTTAAGTATCTTGCAACTATGATTGCAACACTTGAACTTAAAATGGGAGTAAAATGCGTGCAGAAAAAAAGTGGGTAAACACAAATGCAAGTCAATAATGACATTGTTTAGATGTGATAGAACCAGAACATTCAGCATTGTTTCAGCCCTAAATAATTGAAATAATTATCAAATACAATGTATGAATCCTGTATGCAGACAAGTGAGTGCACATTAAAAAATAAACATGTTTAGCCTTTGTAATTGTCGAAAAATAGTATGACTAAAACTTTATGTTTCATAATTTGACTTCAAGGCACAATTTACTGTAAAACAATAAATAGTACATACCCAAGTTTTTTTGACTTCTCATTCGCTTTCTTGTTCAATAGTTAAGTAACTAGAATTCAGTGGAGATAGTGTACTTTTACTCCACTACAATAATATAAAACATGTAGTTAATTTGCAAAGTGATGTGAAATATAATCAACTCTTAAATCAGACTTTAGTTACACCTGGAGTAAATTCACAAGCTACCCTGCAGTATACAACATAAGTAAAACTAGTTGCACCTTTACCATATTTGATAAGCACTTTAATACATCAATAATCCAAAAAAAATCTAAACATATCATATATATTATTCTGTAATGGGCCAATCTGCATAATGAAGACTTTTGCCTTTAAGTATATTTTGATGCTAATACCTTTTTAAATGTTACTTGAGTAACATATAAAATGCAGGACTTTTACTTGTAACAGAGTATTCCTACACTCTGGTAATACTACTTTTACTTAAGTACAATACCTGAGTACTTGCTACTTAGTTACTTAGTTACTTTACACAACTGATTGTATACCAGTCTTATGAAACATTCAATAAACAGTTTCTGTTCAACCTGCCTTTACGTTGCTACAACTGAAGCGCACGCTCTCAGGTGAGGCACACCTTACTTATCGAAATGTGCTCGCAGGACCAGAAAAACAAGCCGAGCACTGCAACCACACACACAGCAACTATGAGCGGGGGGAACATGACAAAGGATACCGAGAACTGCATTTAAAAAGGACCGAAACTCCGTACTAAAACCATATTGTTTATTAGCATGGCTGGCTAACTGAATTCTAGCAAGCCAATGTTAGCGTTTACCGACTGATACCTGTCAAAGCTAGCTCCCTACTCAGCAGCCGCAGATAAGCTCACCCGCAGATGCTAATAACGTAGTTGTACTGTAAACTAGCTTACCGGCCGGCAGTAACGTTTGCTAATACAATTATACTGGCACTACAGTATTGCTTACTGTCTGCTGGTGTACAGTACTGCAGTGTGGCCGAAAGCTTCAAAACGCACCGTTAAACGAAATATATCAATACTCTTAGATAAACATATCGTCTGGCAACTCACCGGTGGAGATGCACCGAAACGTAATCCTGGACAAGTTGAGTTCAACAGATCAATAAATTAGTTGTGTCTGCCAGACATCTCTGTCTCTAGTGATGGTTCAACAAACAAAATCACATCATGGTGAGGTAACTAACAGACGCTTTAACAGCAGAGAGTGGGGTGATGTGATGATGCGCAGACGGGTTACTCCTGGACGTTGACCTCTGACAGCTACTTCCGCTATAGAAATAGACTGGGTAGAAAAGACTTCATACACCATATCATAGAAGACGTTTAGTCCTAAAATGGCTTCAGCAAATTGTAATACACTTACTGTATATACAATATAATGTATGTTATATGATGAGGTAATAAAAATTAACCTTCACCATCTGACATTTTATTTTAAATATATTGTTCCTTATAGATTATTCAAATATTTGACAAGCGAAATATCCTAACATACATTTAACATTGCTCTTAATACAAGTATTTGAACACAATAAAATGAAGATAAATATATAATTGTAGTTTATGACAAAACAAGGCTATTGTTTAATCTGTTTCACTGAAGAAAAGTGTTACTAACAGTAGTACTCCTAAGATTTCATAGAATCACTTTAATAACATGTATCCAGTTGGTGATAGCATAGTCGTTGTCCACAAAATTCTCAGTTTTAAAGATGATTGTTTACAATTATCAGAGGTGGGAAGTAACTAAGTACATTTACTCAAGTACTGTACTTAAGTACAATCTTGAGATCTGTGCACTTTACTTGAGTATTTCCATTTTGTGCTACTTTGTACTTCTACCCCACTACAATTCAGATATACATTGTGTACTTCTACTTCACTGCATTTATTTTGTACCTTTAGTTACTTTGCAGATTTTGATGAATGATGTGAAATATAATCAAGTCTTAAATCAGACTTTAGTTCCACCTGGAGTAAATTCACAAGCTACCCTGCAGTATACAGAGTCATTAAAACTCTGCACCTTTACCAGCTTTGAGAACACTTTAATGATCAATCATTATAAAATATATATTATTCTGAAATGGACCAATCTGCAGAATGAGTACTTTTACTTTTGGTACTTCAAGTATATTTTTACTTTTACTTGAGTCACATTTTGATTACAGTACTTTTACTTGTACCTACCAGTGTATTCATACACTCTGGTATTTCTACTTTTAGTACAATATCTGATTACGTCTTCCACCTCTGACAATGAATTATCTGTTTTAGTTTTTATTATCTGCATGTTTTTTGTGATATTTATAACATTTAAATAATTGTAATAATGCCATCATGGCAACACATGTTATGATTATATGTATGGCGTGTAGCTTACTGGCCCAAAAATATTCACAGTACTACATTAAACAGTTAATCTATTTCATCTACTTCTAGAACGGTAGTCCGCAGACAACCAATCAGATTTCTGAGCGATTTTGTGGGCGGTTTTTAAAGGGGTTCAGGAAAAGGCTGTCCCACTTTGAGCAGTGTGTACTGCATGTGCTGTTTCTGTGCCGATATGTACAGTAGAAGCAACATTACGATCCCCAGAACAGGGCCGACACTTCACGTGTAATGCTTCCTCATGAAACGTTATACAGTTCCATGGCTTTGTTTGTCATCGCTTGTTTTGGAAGCCATGTAAGATATTTATGTTAACGATATTTAACACCAAGATATAACTACTGTTAGAACTACACACTCACGTTGTCATGCAACAATAACTCAGTTGGACAGAAATGCATCTGCGTATGAACTTGCTTCCTCCAAAAACGATCCCCTGCGCTGCCTTTAATCAGATTAGTGCAGTGAGAACAATGTCTGACCATCACGTAAATTAGTGCTTCTCAAAGTGTGGTCCGCGAACCACTGGTGGTCCGTGAGCGCCCCCTAGTGGTCCGTGAGTATATTGGTAACATTTCACATTTTAAATAAATAAATACATTTAAGTTTTCCGCACTCTCGCGGAAATATCTCCGCAATGGAGCAGCTTAAGTTTCACTTTGGATTGCATGATATAGCCCAGCGCAACACCTTCATCACACATGTTGCCACTTGTTTGTATCATTTTCAGGCGATTTGTAATCTGTTCTAGAAAAACGATGTGTTTTTGGATATTTGTGGAGTTAGGTGGTCCGCGAGTGTTTTTGTATTGGTTAAGTGGTCCTTGGTATGAAAAAGTTTGAGAAACACTGGTTTACACAACACATTTGTATACTTAAGGACTTTTATTGTTTCCTCTTTTTTGTCATGGTTGCTTTGTGTTTGAAGTGCATTTTCGGCTGCACGGGTTCTTCATCTCAATGCCATCAGGTCAGATGTGGGAAGTAACTAAATACATTTACTGAAGTAGGCCTATGTTGTGTCCCGTCAATTATGTTAAGTTTTGTCATGTTAGTTTAGTTTATGTTCCACTTCCTGTTTTATTTTGTACTCACCTTGTCTCATTCCAGGTCCCTTTACTTCCTGCTCTGGTTCCTTTTCCCGCCATCGTCAGTGTCTGCCCCGCCCCTGATTGTTTCCACCTGTGCCCTGGCACTTACCTCATGTATATATTGTCCTGTCTCCCCTCGTTAGTTGTCGGTTCGTCTTGTTCATTGCTCCAAGAAGCCAGATCTAAGCCATTGCTTAAAGAGAGTCAGTGTTTTGCCTTTTTGCCCTCCATGAGAGCGCTTTACTTTTGTCAGTTTGTTCTTTCCTCTAAAAGAGTGATTTTGTTTTCTGCAAGTAAAGATTATTTTTTCTTCAAACCTTTTTGTCTCTGGCTTGTGCATTTGAGTCCTCCAAGCTATTGAGTCAAGGTTCCTAACAGCCTACTGTACTTAAGTACAATTTGGTAGTGATGGCGAGATGAAGCTTTGAAGCTTTCCAGCCAATTGGTTCGCAAAAGGGTTCATCTCATGAGGCTTCATCATGGGCTTCATTTGAACACAAACCCCCTGTTGGTCAAAGTGTGTAAAACAGGCAGATTGGACATCTCAACAGTGTGCTCTATCTCATACCGAGTTCCCAATGAGTAAAGCCTTAGAATAACTCTAAACAACGAACATTACATCATATTTTCATGTTAACAATATTGTTTGTATTCCAGTTGAATGATTGTGATTGAAAAGCAAAGAGGGATTTGTATTCCTTACTAATATTCATAAACGTAACCATGTTGTAGCCTGAGAAAGGCTAAACCATATCAAAGAATACATTTATTAACTACATTATCTAATTTAGCTGTAGCTTTTATAAACAACAAAAAATACGTATCGACGAGTCGTTGAACCAGGAACCCTGTGGTCGTGAGTCAACTGCTTTCCAGCTGAGCCACAGCACACAAGCTGAATCTCACTGAAAACACTGTAACATATTTATTCCTGTATTTATTCATTCATGTTTTTTTTCCTACATTTATTTATGCTTGTATCTATTTATACTTATGACATGTTCCGACCTCTATATAAGTGAGGTTCTGAGTTCTTTTAATTCCATCGTGTCACCAGCGGGCCCGGGTACAGGAGGGGTCATTTATACATCCATAGGTATTATGAGCGTTGTGGTTCAACGGTTCAACCGATCAGAATCGCTTCCTGAAGCAGTCACGTGGTATCGACAGGCAGCGAGGCTTCGTTTGTCCTCGATGACGTCACTGGCCCAAAACGATACAAGCCTCGATACAAGCTTCACAAAAAGCTTCGGGGATTACTCGACACACGCTCCGAAGCCACGGCGCAATACGTAACATCACTACAATTTGGAGGTACTTAGAGTATGTCTATGTTATGCTACTATGTAGGCCTACTTCTACTCCACTACAATTCAGAGTTAAATACTGTATTTTTACTCCACTGCGTGTATTTAATACTTTAAATTACTTTGCAGATTTTGATTAATTATGGGAAATATGATCAACTCTTAAATCAGACTTTAGTTCCACCTGCAGTAAATTCACAAGCAACCCTGCAGTATACAAAGTCATTAAACTAGCTGCACCTTTACCAGCTTTGAGAACACTTTCATGATCAATCATTATAAAATATATCATATTATTCTGAAATGGACCAATCTGCAGAATGACAACTTTTACTTTTGGTAGGTATACTTTAAGTATATTTTGATGCTAATACTTTTGTACTTTTACTTGAGTAACATTTTGAATGCAGGACTTTTACTTGTAACTGAGTATTCAAACACTGTGATTTACTTTTACTTAAGTACAAGATCTGAGTACTTCTCCCACCTCTGCATCAGGTATGTTCTATCAAGTCTTTTAGTGTCTGAACAAAAATGTATTGCTACTTCGTTTTTGATCCGATAGAAAAGACAGGGACCTCATTTGATTGGTCACTTTCTCAAAAGTTGTTTCACCAAGGGAAAATCATTTTGTTCTGGCCTCCTCTGGATCGTGGCATTAGGGCACCAGTGAGTGCAATACCGTGTTTAACCACACTTTCAACGGAACATTTAGAGGGGTGCTGTTTCACTCTTTGTAAAATACTCTGTGAAAAGGGAGAGATGGCAGCACAGACAACGATTCTGAAATAACAGATCCTCCGGGAGAAAACGCCACTGGAAATGTACACATACAAGGACTTTGCCTCGCTCTTTTTTTCAAATCTTAGATATAACAACATAACCTATAAAATAAACAACCCCCCAAAAAACTCCCCCCATTCAGAAATATTTCTTCCAGCGCCCCCCGACGTTCTCTTAACGAGAACCCATGCACTAGATGGCGTAAGAGGCCATTCTATCTGTAAGTAGTAAGCCAATTAAGCAGAGATATCCACTCGTCTTCTAAATCTTTGTTTTAATGAAGCCTAATTGATTATATAGATCCACATTGCGTTAGAAATACAATACAGTTTTAACAGTACATATTTGAGTACATATTTGATCTTATTATTCTTGTTTCTATTTTCTTATCATATATATTTAAATGATAAGATACATTGATGTAAAACATTTAGTACAAATGGGAGAATAAAGATCAGTAGGGAGGTTTGAATGATTACATGTATCTTATATGTAATTTATTTGTAGGTGAACTGAAACTTTATCAATTTTTGGCACAATAATACAGAACAAACAGATACAAAGTACACACATGTAAATACATTATAAATGAAAGGAGCCACATACTGTATAACTGAAGTCCCTTATTTAAAATGCATTTTGAGAAAATGTTAAACAATATTCTCACCTTCAACCTTCCACTTTACAAGCCTTTACACAAAATAGTATGTCCACTCCTTTTTGTATTCATACGTTAAGCATCTCACCTTTCTGTATCCTCACTCCGACAAAGCCCCGCAGGACGAACTCTAGTACTTTATTCATGATTACACAGGCTTTTTTGACACACCCCTTAAAAGCATTATTCATATTGTATGCTAGATTACTTTCTAGTCTCTTTAAGCCATCTGTGTTGACATTTATTTCATCCTAGCACTTATATTCAGAGGAGATTTAGAGCACCAATATGCTGAGTATTCTTCCAGGAGTATGTGAGTAGAAGCACGATGTTGCTTTGACACCGTGTCATGCAAGGGATAATGATTAATTTAGAAATCCCAGACCTGAGATGGCGAATTGCTTCTCTTCTTGACACATTGCAGATCACTTATAACTGGCAGCACCATGTTTTTGAAATATTAACCTGCTTGTGCGTTATTGTAATAGTCTTTCAGTTAGTTTTCTGCACACTATGCAATGTGAGATAACTGCCCGTATAGTATTGCACCCCCAGCCCCAGAACTCTGCAGGGAGATATTTTCTGCTGTCTGCAAAACGTTGCAGCTGACCTTCCCGCTACCTTTTTGAGCCAGTGGAGATTTATTTTTCGTTATAAATCTACGTTCAGTGAAGAAGAAAATGCACAGAATGGAGGCTTGAGAGGAGCCCAGCACAGGGGAGAGTTTTCAGATCAAATCTTTTGCCCAGACCTTTTTTAGCAGGCAGCTACATTGAATAGGGAACAGTTTTACTATGGAGGGTCATGTTTTAAAAGGGCCTTATTATGCTATTTCTGGGGTTATATAGGCATGTGTGCATGTAAATGGTCTGCAAAAGCTAAATCTCCAAAGTTCCCTCCAGAAGGAGTTTATTTCCCACCAAACGCCTCCATTGGACTCCTTTGTTTACTTCCGTGACATAGTGACATCATTACGTGACACGCGTGCTTCTACCGGTTAGGCTAAGGGGCGGGGCATCTCTAAGCGGTTGACCAATCACAACAACCACTCAGCTCTTTTTTGTGTGCCCAACATTAACATAATAAATAATCATGATCTTACACTGTGTGGAAAGGGCAACCACTTCTAAATATCCAAGAAATATTTCAAAACACCCGGCATCGACTACACTAGTCAATAAGTAATTGATGTATTCAGAATAAAGTATTTTTCGGAGCAGCTTGAGCAGATGTACGAGTGGAGGGATTAGCAACTCAAGTGTAGCTTTGCTGTCACAGGCAGAGATGTTTGGGGAATTGCCCTCACAAGCAGTGAGCTGCACTCATGCATATGGAATGAAGTGCACAGGACCGCAGACGTGCTCATTCACTCTTATTGCTCAGCCACCACTGCTGTGGCCAAGGGCATGGCATGCAGCAGGTGATGCACAGAACCACCATGAGCCCGCAGTGAAGCTTTACAAACAATACAATGAAGCAGTGATTCCAGAATAAAATGACATATCAGAATCAAGTTTTCTTGCCAGGTTCATTAACACAAACGCTTTGGTGTATGGTGGTGCAAAGCAAACATAAACAACATAGGAAAATAAGTTGTAAGAGAAGGTCAAAAATAGAACCATTATAAAAACAAAGCTATACCAAAAAAATACGATTTAACATTAAAACGAATAAAGTAGTATTTACACAAAATGTAGATATACTAAATAAACAAAAATCTTAAAATGAATATATGACTTGTGTATTATTAAAGTGGAGGCTGTGCGGAAATGTGCCAATAAATGTGTTCATAATGAGAGATCTAAATAAACATGAACATGGCTCACAGTATAAAAAAAGAACAATATGTTGTTCATATGATGTGCATTAATGTAATGCATAATGTCTGTGGGGTGGGTAGGAAGTTAGCGGACATTGTTAATGAGGCCGGTAGCAGAAGGGAAGAAGCTGTTCAAGCCATACATCGTGTCACTTAGAATCCTTCAAATTCAGCTTATTTTTATTTTTGATTTATGTTAAAGTTTTTTTATATATTCATCAATATCTAAAATACAATACATGGTAAAGTATTTAAATGTGGCACACAGGTGGCGATAATATATTAAAACATGTATTTAAAAGTGCCGCCACGGTCAATTTTTACATATTTTATGTTTTGTCTAATAACTCATGAACTATGAGGCATATCAGAAAAATTGTTGAACACTGTGTTCCTTTGATGGCACCATTTTTGTTACCATAATTAGATAACAACAAACACAACTTATGAGTAATTTGTTTGTATCACTTACCATTTGTCTGTAATTGGTAACCTTTTGACGGCATGGCTTGATGCAATTAACCTGGAAATGTTGTACATACAGACGGATAAAGTATGTAACATGTGGCATTATTTTACTCCCAGTATGCACTACAGTAACAAAACAGGATATTTATAAAATGAAACTCTTAGTTCTAAATGTGCGGAACATTGATACAAATTACACCAATAGCCCCACCTTTTGGTTATTAGTAAAACCCAACCATATCTCTTCAACGTAATATGTCATTTTCACACAGATTTTGAAAACCATCTTCAGATGGAAATTGCTAACACTTTTAACTGGGACTCTTGCAAACTGGTAACAAACTTGTTACCGTTTCTGGAGTTCAGAGCAGAGTTGAACACAGTGGGATGTTTTGGGGCATATATATGAATGGAATGTGCCGCAGGTTTACAAAAAGCTGAAAAATAACACACACTATCTAAATGCCGTATAAACATACAACACAACTGCAAGAAATGTGATCAACGTTTTTATTTCAATTGTGAAAAACACATGCAAAAACAATTCACCTGAATAATTTGGTAAGGAAAAACAATAATCCTGAGTCTTCCCTCCCAGTCCACGATGCAGCTTTGGTACATCAACAGAATATGAAACTGTGAACAGGTAGTATAAGATGTTCTCATATCTCAATGGCAGCTTTAACAGTGATCATCAGTATACAGTCTCACAAGGCTTTGATTAGTCTTGATCTTTACCAAATGTGAAAACTCAAATGACAACAAAAAACTATAAACACCATCATACAGAATACAAATATATATAAAGCAAATGATTGTCCAAGAGCATTCCACTTTGGCCATTGAGTATTTCATATCTCATTTTTCCCAAAGGAATTCCTATGATCATGATTATATCTTTTTTTATAACATAGAACTTTCCAATAAGAAATGATTTGATATTTAAATATCAAGACACCCCAATGTTTATTGGTAAATACATTGATATATTTCAATAAGGAATAAATGTCATTTGGATATCTACCATTATTTCAAAAGCAGGTCGATTATGATATATAAATTCTAATATCACAAAAACACCAGTCAATATAATGAAGCCTCATGGTAACATATGTGGGTGTCTTAAATCACCAAATCAGTGTTTATTAGAAAGGTCTATTGATGTATAATGACAGTTTGAATGGCAGCAAAACATGCAGTTTCTCCTACAAAAATGTTATTTTAGGTGATAATTATGTGTATTATAATAAAGTTGTCCGTGTTCGTCACCCGCTAACAACATATAGGAGAGTCTATTGTGGAGGAAGTGGCTATTGACGTCCTTTAAGTGAGTTTTGGGGTTCAATATTAGAACCCTTAATGTTTTTCGGTGGAGCAGGCATCTACTTGGCCTTGGTTTTGTGAGACACTGGACTTGACTCTCTGCTCCCTGATTTGGACAGCTCACGTTGGGTGTTGGAGATTGAGGTGAGGCCTGAGGTGGCAGGGGTGGTGGGGATCTGATAAGGGTTGAATCGCAACCAAGGCCGAGAGCTGCGAAAACACTGGTTCCTGGCCAGTGTGGAGGTCGCAGAGCAGGAGGGGAGAGCTGGGGCTGCCATGTAGCCGTAGGGATAGGAGAAGAGTCCTCCAAAGGGTGACAGTGAGAGTCCCTGCAGTAAAGAATAAAACTGTTAATTCCTCTCCTAAAACCCAAAAGATGTTCTGATACTTTATCACATACAGTCTTGTACAATGGGCACAGTGTCCTGTCACAAAACCGCTTGTGTCCATAGAGACAATTCTATTTGGGTCCCTGCATCACTGGTTGTATGGCTTCTAATCGATGAGTCGTCAACTATTAAATGAATCCCTTGCTATTTTGACTTTTTAAGCAAAAAGAGTGAACGTTGTATAAGTCAAGATTCTTAAACGTGAATATTTTCTGTTTTATTTTATCTTCTATGACAGTAAAATGAATATATTTGGGTTTTGGACAAAACATGACTTTTTAAGATGACATCTAGGGCTTTGGAAAACCCTAAAGGAATATTGTTTTTACCATTTTCGGACATTTAATTCAAACAACTTATCGATTATTTAAAAAAAATGTTGATGGATTACTAGACATTATAAAAAGTTGTCACAGCCCTACTGCTACAAATCGATATATGATTGGTTGATCAAACTGTCAGTCCAAACGTACGCTCTCATTCAGTGCAACGGCCAGGGCATTCTATCAAGGATACAGAATACCTTGGTTGAAGGATATTCTACCCAGAGACCCAGAACAAGATCTGATTGGTTGCTTTCTTTTCTAACACAAAACCACAATGCGTAGTGCATGGTCCGAGAAGGACAAACAAACAAATCAACGTAACACTGTAATATTACAGATCAACAATACAGATACCATTCTCCTTTATTCATTTTATATACATTTTATTACATTTTATTTATATAATTAAATCGATTTTTTGTTTGTTTTATCTGAGTGTTCCAGGGTATTCTCTGAATACCTTGAAGGCCCTGACGGTTCACCACTGGTATAATCTAATCATAGATATATAAAAATTGATTTTTAATAATTTTGAACATGATGCCTTGAAGTAGAAGGGTCAGTTTACCTTAATACATTTTGAGGGGCTAGATATATCACCCTGGAGTGGTGGAAGACGATAAGATGTGCTCTTGTATATAAAATGTTTGTTGACTACATTTTTTGTTTTGGCCGTCGCTTATTAGTTTTTTTGGAGCTAGAAAGTACAACTTAACGTGAACAAGACCTTTTGAGGAGACCAAAATGTTGCAGTTAACTTTAATACTGTGAAGTATTTGAAGTATAAAGTTGGTGATGAAATCACAGAGATAACCCATGCCGGACAATGTCTCGGAAGTGTCAATCACAAGTTAGCCACGCCCTCACGTCCTGCTTTATTATGTCATTTTACTCTTAATTGGATCCTAATTTACATAAAGAACATATTGTTGTAGACTTTAAGTTAGCAATTGAGACCTTAAAAATGGAAAATGAATTTCAAGGTAATTAATCAAGTGAGAAGTAGAGACATTTTCTCTTAGACTTCTATACAATCAAACGTCATTTTGCAAATGAGTTGCCCGCTGCTGGGTATTAGAAAGAAGGCAAATGTATCGCTCTTAAATAATTATGTTAATAGAATATATAAAAATGTGTGATATTAGAGTAGCACACTTCTGTTAAAGCGTACCTGAGATGCAAGCATCTGCTGTGACAGGTGAAACAAGAAGGGCGATGAAGATGCGATGCTTTGAGATGTCAGTCCTCCATTTTCTACTCCAGGCAGAGCTGACAACACACCCTCTGGTTTCCCCGACAACTGTCCCGGATGAAACAACAAAGGCGACCCGAACTTAAGAAACTGTTGGCTCTGCGCACTCGAGTAATCCAAAGTCTGAAGGTAATCGCCGTTGAGGGATGATAAACTCTGCGTTTGTAACTTCATTGGCAGCACCCCATCTTTGATTCCGCTAGCGTGCTTTTTCAAAGAATCAATCTCCAAAGAGTTCATCTTATCTGATGATGGAAACGTTGTCCTCTCTGTTGTTAAGTCCTGATTGTCGTCGCTGAAAGTATGTTCAATCCTCGAACGACTGGCTTCTGCAATGTCCTCATCTTCGAGCTCAATTTCTGAGTCACTTCCAATATTATTGTCATCTGTGGGAACAAAACACTATGTTCAGTTAAAAGTTAGAAGAGCAAGATTCTGCCTTGTTAGTATATTTTTAGAACACAGGGGACAGTGATGACAAACGTCTTGAGCTATGAGGAGGCAGTGTTCATGCATGACAAACTCCAAGCGCCCAAACAGTTAATTCATTGTATCAAGGCTCTTTTTTTCTTTCCAAATTCAGTAAAATGATGTAGAGATCTAAATCAGAAAAACCTTCCTTCATTCCCCTCCAACTCTTATAATGATTTGTTTTGACCAGCTCGTTTGTGAAAGTTAAAATTGTTTTGACGTCAGCTTTGTCATACACCTTGTTGTTACTCCTAGTATACTTGCTTTCCCATATGGTATTTATGTGACAGTTTAATCATATAAATTGACTTAAAGGGGAACTTCACCCATTTTCATTATGGTCTTTATACAGACTGTCTTGAGTTGACAAACTGCTGACAAACAGTTGGATGAAAACACATGTTGTGGTTTGAAGACTGCAAATTGAAAACAAATATCTGGGGTTTAATTAGAAATAAGTAAATACATGAAACCTCATAGCCCACTTTTCATCTAAAAGCAACACACACTGAAAAAACTGAAACGTTGACTTAAATTAAATGTATTATGTCATCAAATTAGACATAATTGTATTGTTAAGTTGAAAGCAATAATATTAAGTTGAACTGACTTGATTATTTATTTAAACTTAATATATGCTTTCAATAACCTTATACAAGTATGTGTAATTTGTTAATAATAATACGTTTAATTAAAGTCAACGGTTTAGTATTTTCAGTGTACTGGCCCGGTTGTATTTTGGGGAAAGAAGGCAAAAATACCGTGTTTTTAAAACATTCTTCTTCCTTGTACACGATGCAGAGGAATGTAAGAAAAACACAGTATCTCAGGGTTCTGCAGTATTCATTTTGATGTTTTTTTTCCTTATTAGTTTACTGCTTAAAGGATACTTGTTTGTAAAGCATAATTGGGTTCATCAACACAACCATACGTCTGCTTTAACATGAAAACTGTAACCCACCTGGACAGGTTGGTGTGTACATCAGGGGGCTTCTGACCAGCTTGCGAGGGGAATACATGGGATCTCTGGGGTGTTCACACGAGTCATCAGAATCAGCATAGTCCTGGTCCGCTTTGCCTTGGCTCTCGTGCAGCGAAGAAATGGTGAAAGGCTTATTTCTGTAAACCATAGATTGAGATTAGATCTACTCTTACGTCCTTTAATATCATGATGAGTCAAAATGGTGAAACAAATACCTCTTTTCTCGTCTACCATTCCCTGCGTCTCGGAATCCTTTGGCAAAGGGATTGTTGTCTATTTTCAGCTGTGTAATCTTGAGGAGAAAATAAATAAATCAGAAAGTAAGTACAGCTAATAATCTAAAAAGACCACTCAGTTGCAATTCCAACTGCCATGTTTTTCTCTAATTTCCTTACATTAAAATACACAGTCAGGTGAAACCTTTGTAATACATGCAGGAATAGATTAAACTTGCTGTGAGTCTCTGTGGGGAGGCTGAGGGTTACCTTTTCATTCTGATACGCAGTGACAGCTATGAACTCGGTCTCAGGGAAGACATACGTCCGAAAGGTGCTGTACGGAAGCTTCATGATGTCGTTGGCCCTCACAACATGAAACCTGGGCTGGTATTTATGCATGGAATTCAAAATTGTCTGGAAAAAGACAAACAAAAATGAAAAGTGATTATTTTTTTAAATCACCCCTTGTCAATTTACAAAATCCTACAATCATTACATTTAAATTACTTACATATCCATGCTTATCCGAAATGTTATTGGTGAGTTTGAGTTTATGGAAAGCGACAGGCTTGCTCATCCACTGCTCCCCTTTGGACGGGCTGTCCGGGTGGATGTACATGCGCTTTGGCATCTCTGGGTCAGCTTTTCCAGCCACCACCCAGCGGGAGTTGTGGAACTTGTAGCGACAGTCATCAACAGCGACGATGTCCATCAGCAGAATATACTTTGCTGTTTCAACCAGACCATCTACTCGCACTTTATAAGCCGGAAACATCCTCCTGTAGCAGGTAAATAAACGAATAATTAAAAGTTTATATTTTGACTTTTTGCGAGCAAGCACATCCCATTGTGTCTTTTTGGACAATTTTGTGTTACTTTTAAACCTTATGTTGGACGATTTAAACATCTTATCAGAGTGGGAATTGTTTTTTGTCAAAAAAACAATCAAATAACGGTGCAATAATTTAAAAGGAACCCCTAGAAATAAGTGATGGGCCGGATCTGAAACGGATTTAGCTTTTTTTTATTATTTAAAAATAAACACCATAAATAAACAGCCTAATTGCATAATAAAAAACACAAACAAATGAAATTATTATAGCTTACTTTAAATAACAACGTTCCATAAAGACATTTTCAAGGAGTTCATTACAAAACATTTTGCTCATTTTCGTCCACGTACCTTCCCGATTTTGTGATAACCATCTCAGTTCCCATTTTGTGGAATTCAGTCCATAAGTGATTTGCATCCAGTGTGACTTTCGGGTCATCCTCCAGCTCTTCCTCTGTCTGCAGGCTCTTCAGTGTCCGCGGGAGAGTTACCGGCTGATCCTGGCGTCCCAGAGCTGCGCGCATCAGCCCCGCGTCGGAGGCAGGGTGCTCCGGGAGAGGCACGGACAGCGATGTCACGTCTGGGAACGCAAGCCCGGGGAAAAAGCAGGGCTGAGCGGCGTTAAGGAAGGCTGATAAGGGCAAGGCACCTGGTCGATGAGCTTGGAAAGGATGGTAAGACGCCATGGTAGCCGCTGCGTCAACTGGATATCTCATCGGGGCGCGCTGACGGGCGTCTACATCCACATTTCAACAACCTTTTTTGAGAGTGTGTGAGTTTTGCTGTATGACCGAGAGATACAAGGAGGGAATGCACATTTCCTGGATTCTCCAGGTACTGGGGCAAAAGCAAGGGTGGTCCTTAATGTTGCTCCACCAGGCTGAAAGTGCACGTTGGGACCATCCAGCGGAGTGAGGACAGAGAAAGTCAAGAGTACTTACACTTTCACACGTCTGTCCTCCACCACACGCTTCTCTGAGTCAGATAACTCAGACAGCGCCACACTATCCGGACCAATTACAGATTCAGGGCGTGGCTATAGGGAGTTATCCGGAGACAGGCTGTGTCACTGCTGATTAAAGCTGTTAATGGACATAGCATGAAAGAAGGACATTTAAAGTAGGCTACTTCAAATGATTCTGGTTTTTAGTGGGCTATTATTGATATGTGTATGTATTCTTATGATCATTGGGATGAATATGATTATTGTTGCCTTTGTTTTAAATGACTTATGCCAGATAATAACATTTAGACTCAAGACTCTTTAAGCCCACCTTTTTCTTTAGTTTTTTGTGAAATATCCATACTGAAATGCCTATTATTATTATTATTATTATTATTATTATTATTACATATCGACAGGTGATGGTCGTCTACTGTTTTTCCCATATAATAATACGCAAAATATTTTACCGGTAGTAAAACAAAATAAATACCAAGGCAAGATACTGAATTTATAAGCGCATGCAGGAAAAATATACAAGATATGAATCATTTACAATAATGGTCTGCTACTGGTTATAATACAAAATAGATTTCGATTAAATGTGCTTTTGAACAATTGTGTTGGTTATTTTTGGTGTAAAACATTAAATAACTGTACTCGTACAGTGCTACATAAAATTACCTTGCATATTAATGGTCTCCTACTGGTAATACTATAAAATGCTTTGAATCTTTTTTGAAAATGTTAAATAACTCCACTGTTATACTGCGAAGTGCTACCAAAAACCCTTTACACATGCATTGTCTAATGTTGGTTATACTACACTAACAAATTAAGAAAAACTTTGAAAATAACAGTGGAGTTATTGGATATTTTACTCAAGAAATCTGGAAATTATGAAAAAGCATATTTCTTCAAAATAAGTGTTGTACTGTAACCAGTAGGAGACTGTTAAAGGTCCCATGTCATGGCCATTTCTACTGATCATAATTCCATTGTTGAGGTCTACTAGAATAGATTTACATTGTGCAATTTTCCAAACTCACATTGGTTTCTCATACAGCATCTCTGTACAGTATGTGTATTCACTCTCTGTCCTACACGCCTTGTTGGAGCTCCTGCCCCCCCCCCCTCCATGTGAGCCCAGTGTGCTCTGATGTGTGTTTATGTCAACCCGGTATCACGGCAAGACGTGAACATGTGACGATTTACCATGCTGGGAGATGTGAAGATGTCACGGTTTCGTCCCCTTCAAACGTGACAGCTACACGATATTGTTAACCCATGTTAACCAGTGGAGAAATAATCGGAAATACCAAGCAAATGCTACCCCGACGTAATGATTTATTTTTTAATAGTCACACTCGATTACAGCGATTTTCTTGTTGCCCCAGCTGGTCGACACCTCTTTTAGCAGAAACAAAGGCTACATTAATGTATTAAATCGATGTTAATCCATGCGTGTGGATGTGGAATTAACGGACGTGACGTTGTGCGATTGAGTTGCCAAGCAACAGCTTCGGTTCATGTTAATTTACAAACTATTCAACTACAACCGTAGTTATATTTAAAAACATGTTAGAAGGCCTCACGAAATACTTTAATGCACATTAAAATGTAAATGTGAAGGAATGTGTGTATAACAAAATACATCGGTCATTAAACGAAACCGGAAACAGACGTAGGCAAGATCCTCAGCTCGATGATTGGATGGTTATCCGCAATGCATGCTGGGATTTGGTGTTTATGTGATGTGAAATCTGAAAACGTTTTTTAAAAATACAATAATACTTTATTCCGAGTGTGCTTGCTTTACTCTTTGAAAGTCATCACATAACGGCATTGTAATACACGGTTCGGCTGCATTAAATATTACATATCTGCCGTAATTCTCTATTTATAGAGCCCTGATGAGAAGACTTCTGGACAAACAGGAGAACTGCCGCCAAAACTGAAGATGTGACGTGGATCATAAATATATAAGCAATTAAACAGCATCTTACATTTATTTTCACACAATACGTCTCCTTGCAGTATCAACACTAATTCGGCTGACTTTTATATTTGATCCAATTGGTAGATAGGCTGTATTTACACCATAACCGTGCAGAGCTGATAGAAAGGGACACCTGGTAGTCAAAGCACGTTATTGAATTGTATTATTTTATTATTAGATATTAATAGGAGGATGTGCAAAACAGACAAACTAATAAGGCTTAATTTAAACATTAAAGAGTACTTTAGGTTAAGGTCTTATTTTGAATAAGAAAAAAGCTTTAAGAAGAATATGGAGGGATGAAACCCTCTTGAAACCGCAGGTCCTTCCTTCCTGCAGCGGTCAGACTTTACAACCAGCACTGCCCCTAGTAGACCCTCCTACACACACCACAACACAGACTATAACACCCCTTGCTGCTAAATACAAACCAACTTTGTGCAATATGTGCTATATGTGCAATATATATATGCCATTAATAACTGTGTAATTTATACCTGGCCACTAAATCAATATATATGCCGTTTTGTTTTTGATCTGTATTTTTGAAAATTATGTAACTTTTTATCTTTTTTTTAGCATATTGTTTATTATATTATAACTTAGTACTTTTTTAGCATATTGTTTATTTTATTCTAACTTAGTACTTTTTTAACGCATGTAAGATATGCAACACTAAGCTGTCTGTGGCTCTTTCCTGCTGTAACGCTGCACATTTCCCCTCTGTGGAACTAATAAAGGTATTCTGATTCTTTAATGGTCACACATGCAGAGCACACAGCACACACAGTGACATTTGTATCTACAGATAAATATTAAGCCTGACAAAGTACTTAACGTCTAATATATTGCTTTCCTGCAATGTTAACTATGTTTAAGCACTTATTTGTTTATTATTTGTTTATTATTAAACTGTTATTATACATATGTATTATACTCTTATAAGATGTATGTAGATAGTATAAGAAATGTGCAGAATGACAGTTTAATGGTGGAGTATACACACATATTGATAGATGTCTTGTAATGCACTGTTGAGGAACCTGCGACCCAAGTTTTTCATTCATTGCATAACTACACAGTAGTTGTGTATAATATGATATGTCAATAAACCTTAGCTTATAAAATCTTGAAATCTTGAAAGGGATGTTCAAACTAGTCATTATATACAGTCTTTAATGAACTATTAGTAGAGAATAACGAGTAATTAATATACTTTATAGGGATCCTATTAATATCTAATAATAAAATAATAAAATTCAATAATATGCTTTGACCACCAGGTGTCCCTTTCTATCAGCTCTGCACGGTTATGGTTTAAATACAGCCTATCTACCAATTGGATCAAATATAAAAGTCAGCCGAATTAGTGTTGATACTGCAAGGAGACGCATTGTGTGAAAATAAATGTAAGATGTTGTATAATTGCTTATATATTTATGATCCACGTCACGTTTTCCGTTTTGGCGGCAGTTCTCCTGTTTGTCCAGAAGTCTTCTCAGCAGGGCTCTATAAATAGAGAACTACGGCAGATATGTCATATTTAATGCAGCCGAACCGTGTATTACAATGCCGTTATGTGATGACTTTCAAAGAGAAAAGCAAGCACACTCGGAATAAAGTATTATTGTATTTTTAAAAAACGTTTTCAGATTTCACATCACATAAACACCAAATCCCAGCATGCATTGCGGATAACCATCCAATCATCGAGCTGAGGATCTTGCCTACGTCTGTTTCCGGTTTCGTTTAATGACCGATGTATTTTGTTATACACACATTCCTTCACATTTACATTTTTAATGTGCATTAAAGTATTTCGTGAGGCCTTCTAACATGTTTTTAAATATAACTACGGTTGTAGTTGAATAGTTTGTAAATTAACATGAACCGAAGCTGTTGCTTGGCAACTCAATCGCACAACGTCACGTCCGTTAATTCCACATCCACACGCATGGATTAACATCGATTTAATACATTAATGTAGCCTTTGTTTCTGCTAAAAGAGGTGTCGACCAGCTGGGGCAACAAGAAAATCGCTGTAATCGAGTGTGACTATTAAAAAATAAATCATTACGTCGGGGGTAGCATTTGCTTGGTATTTCCGGTTATTTCTCCACTGGTTAACATGGGTTAACAATACCGTGTAGCTGTCACGTTTGAAGGGGACGAAACCGTGACATCTTCACGTCTCCCAGCATGGTAAATTGTCACATGTTCACGTCTTGCCGTGATACCGGGTTGGTTTATGTGTTACAATGGCATTTGTTAGCAACCAGAAAATGACACCAGTAATGACAAACAGATGAGAATGCTGCGTGGGGTCTGGGTGCCGTGTTGGGGGGACGTTGCGAGGCTCGCTGCTGCGAGGAGCGGACAGTGTGAGCTGGCTTACTGGTGTGGTTTCCTGGTCGGCGAGACAGCGAGACAGTGAAACCCAGCCCGAAACCAGCCCGAGCACACACACACACACACACACACACACACACACACACACACACACACACACACACACACACACACACACACACCACACACACACACACACACACACACACACACACACACACACACACACACACACACACACACACACACACACACACACACACACACACACACCCGCAGCCTGGCTGTGAGTCTGTGAGTGTTGCTCACACACAGACTCACAGCCTCACTGCGTCCCGTCGTCTCAGGCTGAGAAATCCGCGGAGCTGCAGCTGAGAAAAGATTGAGTGTGTGTGTGTGAGGAAGTCCCAATTGGTCAATTTGGG